CCTTCCTTTCCCGCCATCGCCGCCAGCCAGGGCCCGGGGCTCTGCCGGGGAAAAAGATGCCCGCTTCGATAGCACCGTTTCCCATGTGAATCGTTTTGTCATAATCGCTGTTTACGTCAGGAAGTTCCATACTCCGGCGCGCAAGACATTAGGGCTTCCGGCTTCCGCAGCTAATGAGCTTATTATTTTGTGTCACGTGTCCCACGAGCCAACCGTTGGACTTCCTGGCGGCATATTCAAATTTCAAAGCAGCCTCGTGCCCTAATTGGCCGTTGCCGTTCCCGGAGACTTGCTGATTTCACGGCCCTGATTTCGGTTGTTCTCGAACAATATTTGAAGGAAGGGTGGCCGAATCAGGGGCGTGTGAAGCACACCGCGTGTCTCAGACAAAACCTGACCGACAACCCGTCCCTGCGCGCACGCCCTCTGTTCCCCGCACGCATTTCTGACCCCTCCCCCGTGTGGCGTGCCTGACGCTGCCCCTGCGCGCGTCCGGCGAATGAATGGCGCGGCGGGACGGATGTGCGGCGCCGGGTTAGCACCTGTGTAGTACCTGGCTCGGGTCGGTCGTTCCCACGGTCGGCGGCGGCGGCGGAATGCTCCGCCGCCCCGCCCGCGGCGTCAGGGGACCGGCCGGTGGGCGGCCGGCGCACGGGCGTGCGGCGAGGCAAAACGGCGGCCGCGTGGCCGGCGCGCGCGCGGGACGCGGGGACGCGACGTCCGGCGACGCGGATGAGACACGTCGCGGACGGCGGGGGAAAGGAACGGCATCTCCCACGCTGGTGACGTGAGCCAGCTGTGCGATGCTTGCCGGAGAAAGCGATGGCTATCTTGAACGGACACTTAATGAGCAGCAACGAGTGGTTGAAAGCGGACTGGGGAGCCTCGTTTTTAGGTGAAATTTGACCTTTCCTGTTCGCGTTTAAACAGGGGTTGTCCATGAACAGACTAAGCAGTTCCGCACTGAGGCTTTGTTGGAGAAATGAATTGAACTTGAAATCGTCATCAGAGCTTAGATCGTCTATTTAAGGGAACAGTTTTGCGTGATTCCGCGATCTAATATTTATGCTCATCCCTGCAGTAGTAAAATCAGTGACGACCACTACGCCATGCCTAAAGTGGCCAACGTGATTACTTGCCCAGTTGCCTTTGCAACAAAAGTGAGCTTGTAGTGCACCGCTTATGAACATCTAAAGGACCATTTTGCTCAAAAACTTTCTGGAAGAATCAATTCAACGGAACCAACACACCCCAAGGATTTGTTTTCGAATAAATTTCATGTCTCTAACGGCAGTAAGACCTCACCGCAACACATCACAGGGAATCAGCAACTTGAGCCCATCAAATTTATGCTATGCGATCGGTTGCCGGTCTAATGCACCGATGGAGTTCGCCATCATGGAAGGGAGCCTGTGTTGTTCACATATCGTAAAGTTTTTTGTTAACAAATTTTGGTTCAAAACAATTTGTATTGTCGTTAACCTCACCCAGGTGACGCTTTCTGGGTCATGCATACGGTAGAGACGTGCACGACACGAACCGACCGATCACATGCCGAATGTGCGACTCCCTATCGCAGCATGCCTTGTCAGGATTGCGCTGCCGACGGCACGTTCAGCAGGATGACTGACGACTGAGTTTACGAAACAGTTGCAAGATCGGTTCGCCGGTGGGATAAAAGCGTTCTCAGCGCACAACATATTGATAGGAAAGAAGTCAAACGACGCAAGGTCAACGCATAGCCATTGTTTCACGCAATGAAAGGTGAATAATCCGCACCATTACGCAAATCATCACCAATCCGCACCATACCCCCGAAGAAGTCGATAGTGCCAGCGACAGCGGGTGCAGTGGTGGCTGCATTAGCGCTGTAGCGTGGCGAGCGCGGCCCGGTAAGCAGCCGGCACAGCCGACAGCTTCAGCAGCCGACAGCTTCTCATAAGGTGGACAGAGCTAGGGACGCCAAGACTCGTATATTGACTCGCCTCCTTTCGCCGTTTCCAGGGTCAGATGCTTAGCAGTGCCGCACATGATCGACGCTGTGACGAACAATCGACAGCCGAGCACCGCGAGTTTTTCGCAGCTTTTCAGCAGTCACCACCACAAAGCGCCGCCTCCTCTTATCAAAAACCATTTCTGCTCGCACAAGTAGAGATTGGAGCGCACTCGCCGAGCCATTGAGAAGTGTACCTTCCTACCAGGGGTTTGTACTTGCAGTCGAAGGCCGCTTCTGCAGATCAGATCACCAGACCACCAGGGTCTTCCAACGACATGGTTTTTTCGAGGCACGCGGCATACATCGTCGTGCACCCCTTGATGAAGCGCCAGCCAGTGCAGTGGCGGCCATGTCAGCACTCCGGGCCCATGGCGCTGAGTGCCCGATATTCGAATCAGGGCCCACACGTAAGAGCTGGAGGCTCTGACTCTGACTCTGACTCTGAGAGCTGATCACTCCGCCATCACGCCCCTTTCAACACCATCGGATTAGAAATAGGAAATACACATACGAATCTCGCTTGCACATGTCAAAATTAAATCACCATTCGCTTAGCACCCGCAGTCCCAGTGCCATTACCTAGAAAACATAAAACATGCAATCTTTGACCGCCGTTTTCACCAAGAGCGCCAGCTTGAATCACCGGCATCTGGGATCGGTTTGATTCCTAATTTTTCCAAAGCTTATGTATAAGTCTAGATTTGCTCCATTAACGTAAGACAGAACTCTGCGCGGTTCAAACCAGCGACGTTATGTAACCTGCCATTCCGGCGCGGACAGTCCCAGGAAGAATACTTCGTTGAATGCAAATCGATTTCGGGTTGAACGCGATCTAAAATTACCTAAATCCTTCATCTCTAGCCTCTGGTGACATATTGTTTGTGACACCCGCCAAGAGTGGCACTCTTGACTTCAAACTCGGAGAGGTAAGTTTGGCCTATCCAACGCTTGGAACGGGGGCTGATCCACCCGACGTTGGGAAAACGGCTCCAAAAGAGCACCTCCCATCGACGCATCGGGGGGGGGGGGGGGGGGCGGCAGCCTGTTCAGCCTCAGGCGTTTGGGCTAACCTTCCGCCTTCTGCATCGAACATGCGTGAAAGCATCCGACTGCGTGAGTCCGAACGGAAAATGACGGGTGGTGAACGAAAACTACCCTCCGCTAGCAGATTTCCTTTTCGTCGCACAGGTAAATTCACGCCTGAAAAAAAAATTGGCAGTCCCAGCGCACCCGAGCACGTTTTCACGACGCTCCGGCATTGCCCAGGACGACGGGAAAAAATGAATCCGTGCGCTGTTCTGGTCTCAGAGTCGTCTTGTGACCGACAGAGCGAAGCTGATTTCAAGCTTCGTTCCACTGCTAAGCCGTCGTCTTGTAAGCCATGCCGCGTGCGGACAACTGGTAACGGCTGAGCGGTGCTAGGTCGGTACTGCTGTCAGGTATACGATAAGACGGGCACGTCTTTTGTGCTCTTCAACAGTTTTGGTTGTTCATAGAAAAGGCCCGCAGGCGCAGTTTTATCATCTGGTTTCCGGGCGTTTTTTGTCCGCCATATAATTAATACAATTACCATTTCCGATTATTCTCCCCAGCTTTTTGCCCAGCGCCATGACATCCGGCAACATGCCGAGATCAGAAACACACGAGCACCCCGCCGGAATGGATGATATTCAGATGGGATAATAACCCAGCTGGGGCCTTAAAGCCGTCATTTGCATAATGCGTCGGCCACCGGGGGCTCGCGTCCGACGCCGCGGGTCCGGAAGCTGCAGCTGCACCGTCCGACTGCGGCGACCGCAGGTCACGGGCGGAGGGTCACGCAGCCGACGGGAGGCGCGCGACGGCGGCGGGTCACGCGCGGGTCAGTCGAGCCGGTCCGGGCCGACGCCGACGCGGTCGCCGATCGTGGGAGGCCGCGCCCTTTGTCCGCCTATCTGATGTGGAAAGAAGGACGAAAAATGGCCGAACAATGCTGAGAGCGGCGGCGGCGGACGGCCGGCGGCCCGGCGGATTACCTCGGCAGTACGTCACGTTCACCGGCCAAAAATCTACTTCCGTCTGGGCTCGGGCGCCCCTGCATGGCGGAAAGTTCCGTGGGAGTGCGTGTCCGGGTCGAGGTTCTTGACGAGCCCGGTCGTCCGCGGCTGACAGCGTGATTGCTTCTGGGAGACAGACCGCGATCCCGGGCCGCCGGGCGCCATTCCAGGCGCCATTTTGTTGTCGGCTGTCGCGTCCATGGGTGGTCCCGGTCGAATTTATGTCGCCGCCCGGGGAGATGACCCCCGCCTGGTGGTGGCCGCGTGGGGGCATGACCCCGAGGCCGTGCGCCGCGATCGCCAGCGGGCAGGTCCGAGGTCACGCTGCGCCCGCCTCGCGCACCGCCTGGGAACCCCCGGGAGCGGTCGCCCGAACGTCCAATTAATCACCGTCGATGACCCCTCATTAGACCGGCGTAACCCGGCCGCCCTGAGAACGGCCCCCGTGCGGCTGCCAGATCGCTGCCATATTGCCCCGGCGCGGCGGACACTTGACCCTGGCCGCCTCATCTGACGCCGACCGGCCAACAGGTGGCGCACCGACTGTGGGAATGTGGCAGTTCTCACGGCTCGGCCATCTCCCAGGATTCCAGCGCCCCCGGCCATTCACGCGAGTCCCGCCAGCCAGGCAGCGTGGGAAAACGAACGCATGCGCCAACGCTGTGCACCCGTGCGCCGCAGAATCCATTTTAACAAGCACGCCGCCTGTCTCATTTTTCGTGCAACCCCGACCATGCAATCTCAAGATTGCCGTAGCTTGCATGTGATAGGCAAAACTTCCTGTTCCAGCACACCAATGGGAACGCTGCTCCAGTGCACAGTGCCGGCGCCCGAGCCTCGCGCCCGACAGGGGCGGAGCCTCCGCTCGGTTGGCTACCAAATTCACCTGTAGGCGGCCGGCGCGACGCCTCCCCGCCAACTCGCGAAATAGATCAAACGATCAAAACAAAGAGTGGCGCTGCGGCGGGCGGCGGGCGGCGGGCGGCACCTCCTCAGTGGCATGTGGCTTGTGCTGAGGGCGAGTACGCTCCTGGATCGACGCCATGGATCTGAACCCGCTGAGCCCGACAACGTCCAAGTGCGGCCCGGGTGGCGGCTATGTGCCCCCGTCGCGCACGCACGAGTACAAGAAGGTGAGCAGCGAGGCTTTGGTGGGGTGGGTGCTGTTTGTGAGGAGAAGGAGCTGCTGTCCGCCGCGTCTGATTAGGGGGTGTTTCTTTGTGGTCTTGGGGTGGTCTGGCGCGATTTCTAACGCCAGCGACCTTAACCTGGATTGTGCGTGCTGTGAATTGCGTTTCCAAGAAGATCACTGTTCGAAAACGTATTGATGGTTGTTTGTGCTGTGGTTCGCTCGACAAGTCTTGTCAACCCGCCACCCCTGCTCCTGCGTGAAAGTGAATCAGACGAGGGAGCTCGGGCTTTGCGGCCCCTGGGTTTTTCGAAATGAACGCCCCTCCCGAGGGTTCGCCCCCCGCAGCGGCTCCGCTGCCGCCCCCCCCCCCCCCCCGTGCGGAATGTTCCGTCACTGGAAGGCGTCCGCCCATCGACATGGCCAAAACAGGGCATCGATTACCTCCCATTCTCGATAGCGTGGCCGCCTGACGCGGCGTGACTCGCAGGCTCTGGGTGGGCTTCCCCGGGGATCTTGCTCGGGAGGTGACCGGGGGGACCTGTCAGCACCCGCCGGTGACCCATCGCCGCCGATCACCGGGGCTAGCCGTCGGTTCAGCTCCAGTGAAGCTGTGTCATTTCCGAGTCCTGAGTCGCAGGAAACGCGGGCGCCGGCCGTTTTCCCCACTGAGTCATGAGAGCGGCCGGGGCCGCGCTGTGCGTGACTCCGGGCAGCTGGGCTTCCGGCGGCGGCGGGGCGGCGAACGGCTCAAACGCTGCCGAGGCGAGCTCCTAAACCGCTCAGTCAGCGGATCGGGCGAAATGGAGAGTTAAGGGGTCGGGTGGCGACCGCGCCTCCACGCGGCGTCCAGTTTGAGGTTTTACGCGGCTGGCGTGTTTTGCATGCGGCCGGCGGCGCCGCGGGATCGTGGCTGGAGACGCGCGGCAGGGGAGCTCGTCTGGCATGTCTGCCAGCCGGGAGCTGGCCGCCGCGCGGTTATACCGGTAATCGCCCGTGCACGTGCAGCAGGCTTGCCCGAGAATAGCTCGGGGCGGCGGCGGGGATGATCCCAAGCGGACCGGCGCTGACGCCGGGGCGCCGGCGATCAGTCGGTTCGGGAGCGGCACCCGCCCGTGGTTACGGTCGTCGCCGCTGAAATGGAGAGGTGCGGCTCGTGGGAGACCCGTGCACCGCGTGTTATCTGGGATTTGGATTAAGATGACGTCGGGCGCACCCGGGGAGCCGCCCGAAATGCTGACCTTTGTTCGCGGTCTTTGTTGAAGGCGTGGAAAGTTGGCGCAGGTTGTTAGGCACCGTTGCTCGCGGTGGACTAGACGGTTGGACTAGCCTGTGGTCAATGCGGTGTGGAAGCTCGTGAAGGAAGGCTGGAACAGTAAGCTCAAGAGAGTAGCTTCTGGCTTTTGTGAGTCGCGGAGAGGCTTTGTCAGACTTTGTATCGCTAGAGATATGGACGAGGTGGTGATGAAATTTGATCCGCTCGTTTGTGGGCCAGCAGCGTGCTTCAAACCCAGGATCCGGCTAATTATCACTCCCGTGTGGTGTCGCTTAGGCACGCTATGCCTTACGGACGCTTGCGCCAAATTATTTGCGATCATCTCGACGTCGACAGAAAGATAACCGGAAAAACAAGATAAGCGACAAAATGACCGCCATCAAGTCGTGGAACATCTCTTGCGTTTGGAGGCGAGACCGTCGCTGTCTTGGCATGCTTATCGTGCGTCAGCCTGGGAACACTGTCGTAACGGATGCACGCGGGCTCAGCGCACGCGTCTCGCGTGTCATTAAATGACGTCCCCTCATGCGGCGCACGGACGCGTCTGGCATGATGAGTGCCACCACCCGCCACACTGAACAGCATGTAGCTATTGCCTGGCTTTGACGGTCGGTATCAGTACTGCATCCTACGTCGTGTAAATAGGTCGTAGCTATCGCGCGGGCGAAAAGAGAGGCAGAGAGACGAGCGTGTTGGCTGTGAATAACTTGCAAGTGTTACGCAAGGAGATTACGCTAGGTAGCGCTTCCTTCGTTTTGGTTTGTGAAGATTTGGACAGTCAAATTACGTCTGAGTGTGCGCAGTCGGATTTCAGCTGCTTACTGCGGTTCGTTAATGCTTTTCGTTTTCGTTCGGCCCTTTGTGGGGAGGGGAATATGGTGTGTGCCTACGATCTTGAGGCTTTGGAATGCCAGGTCATATATATATATATATATATATATATATACATATTTCTGAATTTTGCGACGATTTATTCAGTCTGGTTGATGGTTTTTAGCCTTTAATCATGGCCCCGGTTCGCCGTTTTTCGTAACGCGGATTGGTGCCCGGGGGGGGGGGATGAATCCTGGTGTTTCCAAGCTCATGGTTGTAGAATTTAGGGAAAGAACAGGTGGATTGGTCTGAACAAGGTTCGGTGATTGGTATCAATTTAATGTTGTTAGGCCAATAATTAATCCCATTATGGGGGGTCAAAGTTCGGGTTTTCCAAAGAATCACGCTTTTTCGGCTTACAGCATCATACACACGAGACCGTACTTTCGTACTTTGTGGATACGCAAAGCCTAAACAGGCGTGTACCTTGTTCAATTCTGAATACAGTGGTGTGTATTTTCGTGCGCTTCAAGATGCCTTTATGGGCTATGGTCCTGTTAATATAAGTGTCGGCCGCCGCGCGCGTTCCGCGGTAACCGACTCGTCGGTTGACGCCCATCGCCCGCGCCGGCCGTAGATCGCCGCGCAGTGTTGCTAAAAAACTCCCGATGTTCCGAAACCAGGAAGCAAGAAGCACGTCTGGCGTCATAACACGCGCAATGGATGCCCCATCATAGGCTGCCAAAATTTTGGGCGAGATTGTACAACATGTCAGAGAGGTATCCCCAAAAAACCTTCGAGGTGTCGCATCGACCCCTCCCCCCCCCCCCCCCCCACCCGTTGTCAGGGCGAGGGATAAAAGCATGCCCTTTGCATTCCCTACTCAGTGATGACAGATAACAAATGTTTCAGAACTTGGTAACAGTTCACCTATTCTGGGTGATGACTTTACAAACCGCGCCTTCTGCATTCCCTACGCAGCCATGTCTGATAACTTATGTTTTAGCATTTAGTGACAATTCACCCAATGCGGCTGGTGGCTGTGCAGACGTTTACCCCGCCATCCGTTGAGGCGGCGGCCCAGTGGACTGCGGTGTCCCCTGTGTCCTCTGTGTCTGTGTCCGTACGTCCCCTCGCTGGCAGGGACCGGTGGTCTGTCCAGGTGAGGTGTGACGTGAACAGGTGAACAGGTGACCGTTCAGAGGTCAGAGCTCAGAGGCGCTCCATGACCTTCCGGTCGTCTGAGGGACCTGACCTGACCTAACTTGACCTGAGCTTAGCCGACACGAGGAACCTGAGGGGCCGAAGGACCTGGGGTGGCTAAAGAGACCTTGACTGACTTGACTTGACTGAACAAACTGACGTGGCGGCCGGTACTAGCAGGACTTTGTTGCCCGTTCTCGTTGCCCAAGTTCTTGCTCATTGGCAAGGTTCTGCTGCCAAAGTCCCCGCTCTCTGGCAGTGCTCTGTTGCCAGAGTTCTCGCATATTGGCAGTGCTCTGTTGCCAAAGTTCTCGCCCATTGGCGGGGCCCTGTTGCCAAAGTTCTCGCTCATTGGCAGGGCCCTGTTGCCAAAGTTCTGGCACATTGGCAGCGTTCTGTTACCGAAGTTCTTGTTCGGTCCTCGCGTGTCTCGCGTGTATGCGCAGCGTAAGCGTTGTGAGTGTGCGCGGTGCTCTTGAAGTCTCCCATACTCCAAAACCGGTGCATTTTGCAGCTGCCGCCAATGCGCCACGCTCCGTCGAAAGAACGTTGAATTATGTTTGTGCTGTAGTTTCCCGAGACATTATTCCCGTCACATTGGTGGCGGCGTTAAGCGTAGTGACAGTTTCGCGGTTTTGTGATGGATTAAAGCTTGCTCTGTATTGGCCATTCTTATCTTCAAAAATCTCTCAAGAGGCCTTGCAAGCTTGCGATGATTAAATCGCTGTTTCGCTTTATTATGGGCTACAGCTCTCACGTGGACCCGTTCTCTCAACGACTATGTTCTGAAGCTAAAACGAGACCAATGGTGAGCCAAAAAACGTCAGCCTCCCAGAATACCGTTCTCACGAAAAAGTGATAGTTTATAACGTCGACACTTTATATTATCATGACAGCATTTTACTAAACGGTTCACAGCGCTTCGGCATTGACTGGTGCCAGAAATGCCCGCCAGCAATGCAAGCGAACTGTTCCTAGTGTGAGCCTTACCGTCTCGTCCCAGGGTTGACCACTGGTGTTTCACTGGGTCGGCACGATTTCGCTATAAAATCCCCCTGCGCAGGGATATTTTATGGAACAACGGACACAACAGGGCAGTACTCAGCACAAATCGGTGCAGTGCGAGGGGAAACAAAAGTGGCCGGCGGTAGTGTCGACGGGTGCAGTTTGAGTCTCACGGGTAACGACGGGTCAGACGGTCCACGGGGTCACACGTGGCACGTCGGGCTGGGTGTGAATGTTCATGATCAGGGCATGACTTGGGGGAGGCCAAGTCAAGGACCTTACATAACCGCAGGCATGTGGATTGCGGATTATCCCCCTCCCCGCCCCTCGCTCCCATTTGTGACAGGATTTCTTACATGAAGATGACGAAATGGATCGTGAGCAGAGTGAGCTGCTTACTGTCCCGAACGTCACCGCGCCGTCAAGTCATCAAGCGCAGGGAGGTCGGTGAGGTCTCTCGGAGCTCGGGAGTGCCGCCGGCGGGTCGGCCGGCTGCGGCGGCTGGAGCGCGTGCTCTACCGCGTGCTGAGAGGCGCCCAGGGTGCCAGGGTGGGCTCGAGTCCCCGCTCGACAAGCTAGCGGGGCGTCGGCCTGCTATGCTAATGCGGGGTGTGGTGGCTTACTAAGTGGAGAGTGCGGCTCGTCGGTGTCGGCTGCGGGCCCGGTGGGCGACGTCACGTGCCGATGTGAGAAGTGACGACGCGCCGGCGCGCCGGCGCGCCTCGCCCCTCGGAGGCGCCACATATCCAGACACTGTTTGGCGTCAGGACGATAGGCGAGGGACGGGGTGTAGCGGAAGTGGACGGGTACTCCACTTGGCTGCGGTTGGCCTGCATCGGCGTGTGCGACATCTGGCGTCATACGTCGTCACCCTGTACATGTTGACCTGGTCTCACTAGGGAAGTGACGAGTAAATGGATGTTTTGTTGGCACTGATTCGAGGAAGGTCTTCGCTTGCGCTGTGCGATGAACGTGCCCCGTTTTAGTGTGGCTCTTCACGCCCGTGCGGGCTTGCAGCCGCTGCAGTCAGGTGTGAGTAGGCCGTTTACTGAGGGTCGGGTCCAGCCTTGATTCGGTGACGATTTGACAGTGGTCAGCTGACTCGGGTCTCCTCGTTCTCCGGAGCACAGCATACGTCTTAGGCCAGAGTGCGAGGCGGGCCCGCCCGTCTTGGCCAGCGCGGAGGGGCAGGCGGCAGGCGCTCCCGCTCCGCTCTCCCCGGCCGCTCCCGTCATTAAGATGGGCTGATGAAGTGCCTTGTGATGCGCGACACGTGTTAGCTGTGTTGCGAAATGGGAAAAAATCGGCTTAGACCTTGTTCGTCGTGTTGGGTAATTGTGGGATCATGCCTTGGCAACTGATTGGGTGGGATTTCGTCGGATGAGACCTGTTGCGTTATCGCTTATGGCAAGGGTGGCTGGCAATTTGAAGACAGTCACTTCTGCCTGTCAAAGGCAAGCATAAATTTTATCACCGTGGTTGTGCTAGGCACCGCAAGATGGAATCAAGACGTTTTGGTATTTCCGCCCGCTGGAAGTTCTGGACAGGTTCGCATGTGGCGAGGCCGTCGCCCGATGCTTTCTCATGGTGTTTTTCCAGCACAGGCTCTTTCACAACTACAAATCTGCTCACCCGAAGGCAAAGTGCCACGATCCTGACCTCGCGAAGCTGATGTGAGCAACCCCTGAACGGCGTAACACAACCCCGCTGGCACCAGCGGCGGCCTATCGGGCGTACCGAGCCCTGCCCTAGTCCTGCGAGCCCCTTCCGCCCCCTCCCGCCGCCATAAGACGACCCCGATGGTACCAGCGCTGGCCTCTCGACCGCGCCTAGCCCCGCCCTAGCTCTGTGAGCCCTTCCCGCCACCGTAACACGACCCCGCTGGCCTCTCGACCGCGCCTAGCCCCGCCCTAGCTCTGTGAGCCCTTCCCGCCACCGTAACACGACCCCGCTGGCACTAGCGCTGGCCTCCCGGCCGCGTCGAGCCCCGCCCTAGCCCCGCCCTAGCCTTGCGCGCCCTTCCAGCCGCCGTAACACGACCCCGCTGGCACTAGCGCTGGCCTCCTGGCCGTGTCGAGCCCCACCATAGCCCAGCCCTAGCTCTGTGAGCCCTTCCCGCCACCGTAACACGACCCCACTGGCACTAGCGCTGGCCTCCCGGCCGCGTCGAGCCCCACCATAGCCCAGCCCTAGCTCTGTGAGCCCTTCCCGCCACCGTAACACGACCCCACTGGCACTAGCGCTGGCCTCCCGGCCGCGTCGAGCCCCGCCCTAGCCCCGCCCTAGCCTTGCGAGCCCTTCTAGCCGCCGGGACCCCACGTATCGTGTGAAGCTCACCGCAGCCTCTTGCCCACAGCTGATGAAGCCGCTGATGGAGCGCAAGCGGCGGGCGCGTATGAACCTCTGCATCGAGGAGATCCGGGACCTGATATCGGGTCAGCTGGGCGGTCCCGGGCCGCGCGCACCCCGCGACGATGACCTCGTGTCACGCATGGACAAGGCGGAGGTGCTGGAGCTGGCTGTCAAGCACATCCACAAACAGCTGATGTGAGTTGGTGCGGACAGATTGCTGCGGGTGGGCGTCGTGCTCTTTTGTCCATTTCGCGTCTCACACGTGTTTCGCATTTCGTCACACTTTCGCGCTATTTTATGTTTTGTTTTTGTGTGGCGTCACATTTGTTTTCCTGGCCTTTGGTGGCTGGACCGTTTCGTCCCGAAATGGGTCGGTGATGTTTGTGGATGCGGCGCGGTCGGCGTAGCTTGAAGGGCAAGCGCAGTAACCGCTCGTGGACGAGGTGACGTCACGCAGGTCACGTGCGTGCGCGACGCCGATCTTCGTGCGGAGTACACGCACGATATGCTTCGTGGGTAGGTCAGAACACATTCTAGACTCATCACACAGCTCCAAATTAGGTTCGTGTGCAATGTTTTTCGCGGTAGCGTGGTCTGGCGGCACTCGGCCGTTTTAAGTAGCTGCTGGATTGCGGTGGCCGACGGCCAGCCCGCCTCCTGTGAAAATTCACAGCATTCCCTGCGCGCGCCACCGGCGGTCACCGGGCGCCGTCTGCCGGCCGTCGGCGGGTCCTCGGGCTGCCGTTCAAATCTTCAAACCTTAGCGGCCGGTGCAGAAGTGACTGGTGCCTGCGGGCTGCCACCAACCGCGCCGGCCACCGCCGCGGGCCCGGCCGCCTCACACGTGGGGGAGGGAGGGAGGGGTAGACATTGTCCCACGCTGCTGCTCACATGGCCCGCGCCTGTCACCAGACCGGATGCCCTGCTGCAGCGCTGTCGGGGGTTGCACGCGCGCCAGCGCGGGTTGCATGCGTTCACCAAACCACAGGGCAGCAGCGGCGCGCACTGGTGCATTCAGCGGGCACGCATTCGGCGATCTGTGAAGGTCGTGACAATTCCCCGGCATTTTCATCCAGCGGATGCCTCTGAAAAAAAAATTATCGCACGAATTCGAGTGTGTGCATTTAAAACACTGCTTCGCGTGCATTTTCGCCGGCTGCCTGATGCGTTCGAGCAGTTCCACGTGCTCGGTCGCCGTTGGCGCGGACCATGCCCCGGGGCGGCCGGCGTACGAGCGCGTCCAACCTGCAGCGATCGGATGCCACCGAGTCATTAATGGCTAAGCACCAGAGGGCGTGTCTGTCCCTGCTGGCCATAAATCAGGCGGCGCGGTCTGCGCGAGGGGCAGCTCCCGCGAGATAATTGGCCGCGGATAGCTCCATCACGACCCGCGATTGCAGCTAATGAGATTAGCGCAAAAACTAACAGCGCGGCGCGTTTAATAGGGCTGCTGATGAAGCGGGTCGGGCTGGGTCGGGCGCCGCCCGCGCGGCGCGCGGCGGGGCGTGCTGCGCGGTCGGCGGCGCGGGAAAAACTGCCGCCGGCCCGGCGGCACTGTGGGAACGGCGGTCAAAACACTCAGCGTCCGCGTCGCCCGGCTCCGGCTGGGAGCTCTGGGGTATGCCTTCCCCATGACTGCTGCACGTGGAGGGCGCTCGCGGTCGTGTTACGAGGCGTTCGCCGCGGAAGCCGCTTTGTGGAGGGGATGTCTTCTTGCCACGTGGGTATGAGCCGTGATGAGTTGTAATCCACTTTGATAATAATCTGGTGGTGCAACCACATAGACATGCAGTCGTCACATAGCTAAAGCCTCAGAGGTCATGGTGGCCGAAGTCTGGGTTTTCCCCAAAACCTCGTTTTTTGTGGTCCCTGTGAAAGTTCGGTGACCAGTTAGATGTTGACTGGACCAAGATAAGCATTGTGGCAGGCCCCTGCCAATAGGTCAAAGCATCCTTCAAGCCATCACGCATGGAAACCGGATTGTCCTCGTAGTCGTCGCGTTTGGAGTGCTCCCCACCGATAACGCCCTTCAGATCGGCGGCTGTGACAGTCGATCTACCATTACATGATTCGTTAGCATGAGAGGCGCCTACGGTCGGTGCGTTTTTGGCATTTTATTACGGTGATAGAAGCCCTCTAACGACTTCATGCTACTGCACCGCGGGTGAAATAGTAAGGAGGTATTATGTGCTAATGGCTAACATCGTTCATTGTTATTCCAAGCGCTGCAGATTTCGACCTTGGACACCGGCTGTACATAATTTGAGGGCTATCTTTACCGTTCGTCTACGGCTGATTTGGTCGGCTGGATTTCGCCATGAGCCCAACATGGACACCAAATCTCTCCACATAAATAGACAGGTGAAATTAGAGGTGATGAGTGCCCAGTCCTTTCAAGCCTGTCAGCAAAGTTTTGCAGTTTTGTTTCTACCAGGATATTCAGCAAACTCTTAATAAAGGGCGTGTAAGCGCCAACACATCCAGAACAGATGAAGCATGTGGACTTTCCTACAGTAACGCTCTGGAGCTAAACTTTGCCTTATTTGGAAGTGCGACGTTCGCGTGATTTCCACGTGCAGACGAAACCATCGTCAAAATCATCACGCCCGTGATTGTGTACCCTCTGCAGAGTGGGCGGACAGGGGGACAAATGCGGTTTTATATGATAACCTCTCATGGAACTCCATGTAGGGTTGAATACCAACTCGGAAAATCGGGAGGGGCCTGTCCCGGTTATTCCCCCCAACCCGATTCCACCGTTAGTGATTAAAGAACAAATCCACGGCAAAATGTTGTGTCCACTCCACGGAATGAGGAGAGTGTGTCGACACCTTCCACGCATTCAAAACCAAAACGATTTTTCGATGAACACGGTTTCAGATCAAGACGTGGCAGTAACCAGTGAGCTTACGAGAAGCGAGTGTGCTGTGGCAAAAATTGGACATTATATGGATCTAAGTCCTAGTATATGGTAGATTTTCGGGCATGCATATTAGCGTACGATAGGTGTGTACCTAAGATGCACGGGTGATAAAAAACATCGGGAGGTAAAGACGGTACACTGGAAGGTAATACAGTTAAACACCGTAGAAATTCTACTCACCCCCTTGGCGTACAGGAGGCTAGGGTATCTAATGGTTGCGTTGCCCTTGGCGGCCTTACGTTCCATCCACCAGATGCGCGAAGCCTAAACGGTCGACGCCCTTACGCACTCGGGACGCGTGGTGGCAGCAGCAGCTCGTGGGCCGTTGCGGAATGACACGGGCTCACACATCACAGCGTTGCACTAAACGCCAACGTAGCGTCTCGGTGCGCTGATCGCTTTGAGGATATCTGGTGCAAGAGCGGTATCACGTTCACATATCGGTTTGTCGATTTGGGTCCACCCTAGTTCACGCTCCGTGGGTGTCACTTAGCTGGGGCACCGGATTTTAACGGTACCAGCGCTGAAGTATAGGACTTCCATTCGGTAGTTCTGTGTATGCGTTTTTTTATACGTTTTAACCACCGCGTCGATGCATACAGTGCCGTGCGTGGAGAGCAAGTACTGAAATCAGAAGCCGTTTGATTGCTTTGGGATGGCGAGGACGTATCCGAATAAATGCGATGAGAATACCTCAGCAGTGGCACGCGGTGATAGATATGCGATGTACTCATGAGGTGCACGAACTTTGGTCACTCTGAATGTGTACGCTGTGTGGGGATTTGATTTCATTGCTGGTTAATGCGACGAGAGCACGCAGATCTGTGTGTAGCCGGCGGGGTTGGATGAGCAGTTCCATGTCAGTAGGCTCGAGCTTGAGACTGCTTTGAGGAGGCCTACTTCATGCTGATGAATATTCCACGCGCTTTTTGAATTTCGGAATGTTACGGGTGAGTCGGCGTCAAGAAACTGGGTATCATCAGCATACATACGGCCTCAGAAGGCGACTATGCTTAGCTGTTCAACGTCTTGGGTGTGTCAGCGATGACCAGTGACGTCATCGCGCTGTAGAGGATATGTGATGTCATGCGATGACAAATACTCCATCAGCTGACTGCAAACCACACGCTCGAAGAGCTGGTCACGACTAGCCAGATAGAGATCAGCTGATAGGGATAATTGTCCGGGTCATTGGATGCTTTTTCTCGTGCAGCGGTATCGTTGCTGCGGCCTGCTGCTAGTGAGACACCTCGTTAGTCAGTAGCGGGCTGTTGATGACACGGAGAAGGTGCGGCCCCACTGGAGGAAACGACGCGTTCTGGATGCCCACTGAAATGCCGTTTACTTCATTATGCCCACTGGCACACGGACGCTGCTCACTGAAGCTGCGATATGGTTTCAGTGTGGTGTCACAGCCGGCGACAGGCGCAAACTGGGCAGAATTTCAGTTAAGCTTTTTATAGAGCGCCAGTGACTGCAGCACCCATGCCAGTGCTCAGGGCCGTGGCGCAGCTGGAATTCAGCTCATTTTTTCCTGTGAATCGGTCTCGACGGGAGTTCAAACTGATACAGAATGTGGTACGTGAGATCGTATCTTTCTGTGCACTCTAGTAAAGATAAAATGGGAACACTGTTGGGCTCAATCTCTCTGAGCAATCAATGTAATCCAGTCAGCCGTTGTTGTGAGTGAGCGTTCAAGCACTTTGCAATATTCGCGCTGAATGGGCAACTAACGCTGACTTCGTCGGGACATACGCGGGATTTGTCGCCCAAAATGTTTGCCAATGTCCCGTTTAATAATGATTTTTGACACCGCGGGACGTTCTCAAGCCATTCACGTGGGTCGCATCTTCTCAGTACCCTCTGAGTACAATGCATTCGAGGGTGACCAACTTTCTTGCGGACGGAATTTGAACTAGCCGATCGTCTGGCATCAGGTGTGTGATAATGAGTGAGAGGGATAACGACGTCAGATAAAACGTTGATCGACATTGTTAAATGAAGACGTTCGAATTCATTGGCATTGAAGGAACTAAATCAAGTCCGCAGCATTGTTAAAATATGTATAACGTTCGTCCAATCGTGTGCTGGCGTATGCAGTCATGTGACAAATCCTAATCGCGCGCATTTCGCTTACGCTTATCGCACATTTTAAGCATGATAAGCATATGGCAGACTTATTCAGTACACTGAGGAAAGACTTACTGACAACAGAAAAGTTGTTATGCTGACGGTCATCAGCCTTGTATATACATGGGGAGGTCTGGATAGGCGGTGTCATCAAACAGACAGTGATTGTTTCCCCATGCTTGGCGCTTAAAGCTGTGCTTATGGTTACTCGCTTAAGAACCCGTGTACTCGGCTGATCACAAACACATCTTGAAAGTCGAGTTTTAGCAATATAATCTATAGTTGCCTACTAACGTCGTTTAACGGGTACCCCCAGAGAAACTGAAGGTTGATAACTGTGCATAGGAACTCTGAGCTCATTTGGCCGAAAAAACAGGTGGGCAAAGACTTTCCTGTTTATATCAGAGACGATGGTGCAAATCACACGCATGCGTGCTTTTTAAAGCACACAAATGTACAAAACCGTACAGTCACCATGCGCAGGCGCCGAAACGCCGCACGGTCTCTGGGAAATACACGAAAGGCCCGAGGACAAGCATGTGTTGTGGCCAGATTAGCTTTGCTCAAGTTCAGTGAGCTCACTTGTTTGCTGTGTCGATTTCTCTCGTATTCCGTTGACAGTGAAACGTCTGGGAATCTTGGGGCGGTCACGTGCGATGTTAACTTGCTGCATGCCGTGAGGGATTTGCATGTGTCAACGACTCCTTTCATTAACAGATGAGCCACGACCTTGCAATGTAGCGTAATGCAAATGTGAATGTTGCGAGGTCTTAATGTTGATGTGGCCGTCACCGATTGGAGCCCACGATAAACTACGGCAAGATTTTGCACGGACTGTATGTTGAAAATCAATAACGATATGTCGACGGGTCATGACCCGCTCTCTGGCGACTTTCGAAGGGGTCGCCGTGTCGCCCGGTACGAGGCTGACGTGCCTTCCTCTCCCCAGGTCCAGTCGCCGCCCGGACCCGTACACTGAGGTCAAGATGTTCCACCAGGGCTACATGTCAGCCCGGGCCATCGTCAACGACTACCTGCAGACGCACCAGGAGATGGACGGGGCCGTGCTTCACCGGCTCAACTCACACCTGGACCGACTTGTGTCCGTGCCGGCGGCCGCCCCACTGGCGGCGCCCCTGCGTGTGCTGCCGCCGCCGGCCGCGGCGCTGGCGCCGCCCGCGGCCGCGCCACCTCGCCCGGTGGCGCGCGCGCCCGCCGCCGAGCCGGCCGACCCGGCCGAGCCCGCCGCTGTGCCCGAGGGCCCCATCAACCTCTCCAAGTCGGCGTTTCGGCCGGTGGCCGCGAAGGGCGCCGTCGTTGACCCGAACTCGTGGCGGCCGTGGTGACGGCCCCGGCGACGGCGGCCGGTGCCGATGGCGGCGACACCTGGCGTACGCACGCCAGCGACATCTGCCGCGTGGTGGATGAGACTGCCCCGCCTCTGAGCAGGCGCTGTGGGCGTGCCGGAATCAAAGAGGCGTTGGTGTCCGTCGACGGAACACTTGATCTCAGCATGAGTTCGCTCCGCGAAGCGTCGGCGAGGCGCGCGGGCTCCGGGCGAGCGGTTGATGTGCAACCTGCCCGCGCACGTGTTCGATTGCAGTGTAATGGTGCCGGGGGTGGCCTTGGAGCCTGCCTCCCACAGCAACAAATCAAACGTCTTCCAGTTGCATGTCTTGTTTGCCGTGTGGTGGGCGCACGGCGCGTGTTGTGTTTGCGCTCACGTTCTGGGGTGACGCGGTGGCCTGTTGGCTCAAAGCAGAGCCGTCAGGCGTATTCGAACGACAGCTAGGTGGGGTTTACGTGTCGGAGATGGCATTGACGAACGCTGTGTGGATTGGGGTAGAAGCTTAGTTCGGTTTCGGGGCGTTGGCGTAGCACGTGGTGTGTGATGCTTTCACGTGACACAAACCCTCGCGGCAGGGCTCCATCTTCGGACGATTCCAGAGCGGCGGTCGGGCGCCCGGAGCGGCGTCTGGAGACCGCCAAATGTACAGCGCGCGGCGCGCGGCGCCAGACGCCCGGTCTTTCATAGCAGCGTGATACCGTTGTGCGTGACGCCGGCGAGCTGAATACACGGCTGCCAACGCGCCGAGTGCTGCAGCGGGCGCGGCGCCGGCCGGTGAATAGCCGCAGGCGTGGCGATCAGCCAGCAGTGTGGGCGCCGGCGCGGCCTGGGGTGTCCTTCATCATTTTAACGGCCGACGTCGCGGCCGGCGCCTGCCGGGCGCGGGAGCTGAACGGGTGTGATGGCGCGCCGGATGGGGTGGCGGCTTACTAGGTCACGGGTGATGGCTGGGGGAGGGGTGCTCGGAGTGGGGTGGTGGAACTCAAGGTCACGGATGGGACCGCGATGATCTACCCGGCGACGTGGCTTTTAGAGCTGAACCGGGGGACGGGCGGGGGGGGGGGGAGGGGAGCGACAGCACCCCGGCTCGTCCAGGAGCGGTAGAAAATGCGCGGATTTGCACCAGTTTGGCTAAGCTTAATATGATGTGCTTTAAATTTGGAAGTTAGCACTCGGACACACAGACCTCTGCATATATCCGCCGCCGAGTTCACGCATGCGTTTGTCATGGCTTACAACACAGGAGTAAGTTGGCCTAAACCAATTTTGCGTCACTAACTACTCGTGGCCATTAATTACTTGGAAGTTGTGCAATCTTCCTGAGTTTCGCAGCCGCGGCATACAGCACGAAATCTTAATGCACGGGTGAACGTGCGGGGGCGAGCGTGGCTCGTAACGCTACCCGTGTCTGCTGCAATTCTGATCGCTGCCGCTCTGCGTCACGTGGCCTCTGTCCTGCCGGCCAGCCCTTCGCCGGCTTTCCTAGAGCCGTTGCGGAAAATACAGCCAAAAACGCGGCCAACAGGAGGCCAGCAGAACGGAAAAACTGCTCAAAATCCTGTTAAAAACGCCGCATTCGTGAGCTTTGGCGGGACCGCGCTGCCAGTTCGGTCTTCAAGCACGGTTCTCCGAAGGGGATTACTCGGCAGGGTTAAAAAAGTGGAACCATGCAGCCACGCAAGTTACCACGGGCAGCAACAGACTATTGGGCGAAACTCCAACCCGTGTCAGGGATTTTCGCGGTGTAAGTTGTGAGCGGCCATTGGGAAACCTGCGTAATAACCTGGCAACACCACCGTTTCTGGAGATATTTCCTGAGCCTTCAGAATACAAGCTGTTGTTGTTCGCACTGTGGTAAGGTCTTGTTTGATAAGTTCAGAACCGTCGATTGTTAATGTTAATGTCCTTGTTAATGTTAATGTGTGCTGCACAGTAAAAATGGAAAAATCGGCACAAATCTGGAAAGACAACCTGAACTATCTTAATGTCCTTGAACCCTTGCGCCTGCAACAATGGCATTTGCGCGCGTTTGCGAATGAACGAGGAAACGAGGATAATCACCCATCTAAACCGTTGATACTGCTTGATGATACGGGATCGAACTGTTTGTTGAGTCCTCTAGGGCCGTAAAGATTTGTATGGTGAGGTAGCTGGTAAGGTAAAGGTAAGGTAAGATGGTAAGGTCAGGAAACAATTATGGTTTAATGAGCGGCCAGTCTATCATCTATTCCGATGACATTCATCATAAATTTCGTTACCCATTCACTCTCACAAAATTCCTTATGCAATTTCATTCCCCTACGAAAGGATGTGAGACGACTTGACCCGATGATTTGACCAGGTAACGCAGACAGGGGCCAAAGGGGCACATGCTCCCCCTTAGGTTTCGTGAGGCCCTTCGGGTCCCTCGGAACCTACGATTAGGGGCCCGATTTGAGAGCACGAACGGCCGGAAAGGCCGGCCGTAGGCCGCGTTTAGGGACCAGACCTACGGGGCCGGAGTGATTCACACTGGTTGGGGCCTTGTATCTGTCATGGGCCCACATCGCTTAACAAAGGTTCCTGTGCTCACAAGTGGCCCCGAGCTGGCCAAGAGCAGTAATCGATGAGGCCCGAAAAGGATCCCGGACGGCCCATTGGAGCCGACGATTAAAGGCCCGGTTAGAGGGCATATGGGCCTGAAGGGCTGGCTGTAGGTCACGCAAGAGATCGCGGCCCGTGGGGTCGTAATCTGAAATATCAGTCAGCGGTCTTCCTGCATCGCTTGAAGAACCCCCCAGAAAATGTGGGAGTCTAAGTCGGTCAGAAGCCACGAGCATCGGGCGGTCGGCTCCATGTCCGTCCGAGCCTTTCAGACCTATTTCCCAAACAGTAGCAAGGTCGGGACTTCCGACGTGCAATGATCGGAGTCCCTGTTACAATATGGGGCTCCTGTGTCGGTCAGGGGCCACAGTGCTTAACTGGGGTCCTGTGGCGGCAACTGATCCCGAATTGGAGCGGTGTTTGAGGAGCCCGAAGAGGGGCTGAAAGGTCTCCCGGGACCAAATATCAAAGATGCGATTGAAAGGCTGAAGGGTCCGAAGGGCTGGCTGCAGGTCACATTAAGAACCCCCATCCATAGGGCCGTGACCTCAGATGTCAGTTAGAGGACCTCTTGCACCGGTTGGGATCCCTGAGACAAAGCCTTCCTTTGTTTCGGCCAGAGATCACCAGTAACGAAGAGTCAGCTCCGTGTTGGTCTGAGCTCTGCGTGCCCATTTCCCAATCAAGGACAAAGCCGGGCCTGCGATCTACATTGGTCGGTGTTCCTGCATCGTTCAGTGGACCATGGTGCCAACGGGGGACCTCGGGTCGGTCAGGGAAAGATTTGCTCAACAGGGACGGACGGAGAGCCTCTTGCGTTGGTCGGGGCCCTCGACAATGGAAGGAAACATGAGAACTTGTGATGAGTGCCCACATTGAGGCCATGAGGCCTGCGCCAGTCAGCGCTCCAGTACCGAACAGCTGGCGCTCCAACACAATTCCAGCATGGGCCCGTTCAGCCGAGCCGAAGTCTATGTGCCAATTATTTGACCACCTGCAGCGATCAGGGACGTTGTTGCACCAATGAGGGTTCCTGTGTCGATCCGGGGTCAACTGCGTGGGTCAGAGGGCCTCCCGCGTCAGTGAACGGACCAATGTGATATGATCTATCCCTCTTATGGCCTCGGGATTGACCAGGGGATGCCGCCCCGTATCGCTAGAATGACGGCCAGAAAACACACCGCGGTGGGACAGAATGGCCCATCAGCCCTTGACCGGGAACAATAATGCACCTCGTAATGTTCTATTCAAGGGGCCCTTTCCCGGACAGAAAAAGAGGCCTCATTAGTGTTGAATAAAGCGTGTCGAAATTAGTGCAAAAAACGCACAAGGTAGCCCATGTTTACCGAAGAAGGTCCATTCTTTTGCAGAATCAACTAGTGAAGTAAACTGCATCAACAATTTTGGGCCTGCGCGCCCGCGATCCCGGGAGTAAGAACAGCGATGTCCTGAGTTGCAGTTTCCGTAAAGCCGAGTGGCATTGGCCAATGCAAGTAACACCAAATAACAGGCGCCGTGTGCGCAAGAACGATTACCGTAAAATAACGCTTCTGGATGTCTTTCAAAATTAATTCAGGGTGTTCAAAGATCAGGCTGGGCGAATCTTTTTTTAAATTGATGGGATTTTCCTCTGGGCCGATAAACAGTTACGGACACACAAAAAAAACTTTTCTAGTTCCTCCATCAAATTCTACCACCACTACGCCGCGCCGCAAATACCAATCCTAAGTATTATCAATCTATATATTGCTCAAGTAAAACATTCGTCCGGAATATCTTATAGATGTACGATTTTAAGACCTAAGGCATTCAAAAGTACTGTCTTCTAATGTGTCATTATTTTGATCCATCCGTTGGCCACCGCTTAGTGTTAGCCGCAGGGCCAACGCTGCACGGTTTGCGGAAACTGCAACGCCTGGCGTCGAGGTTTTTGTTGCTAAGGTGCGCCAGCGTGCACGCTCAAAACTACGTTACATAAGTTGTATCACTTATCTATTCTGACTGAATGCAAAACTTTTCCAGGCATGCATGGCTTGGCCATGTTGATACAAGTTGTTGAGCCATTTTAATCTTCAATCTACGTTCGCGAGGTCCTTGATATTTCTGTACAACCCAGATGCAAATTCTGACCAGGTTTTTGAGTTCTAACGGCTTAGAAAGAGTCCACTGAACCATTGCAAAATTAACAGTGCCGGTGGCACATTTCATGTAGTCGCTGAACGCATTATTTTTGCGGTTTATTGACGAGACTTCAGGTAGGATTGATGTCGCGGTAGCTTCTGGCTTCTATTGCAGTCACTGACCTAAAAATAAAAATACCAACGAGGAACACGCCGTCATTAACAACTGGACCATATCCGGCAATATTCGGGTTTGTCAACTTTGTCAAATATATGGGCTTTGTCAACCCTGTGCCCCCCCCCCCCCTTCCTTGCAAGGCTCTAGCTGCGCGCCTGATTTGACCTGATAGAAGAATGTGGTGACAGGGCCTTTCTGGTGTTCCTTCTGGTGACCCTTCTGGTATCACTGTGGAGATGTAGCACACAACTATTGTGCACGAACTGGTTTGGTGGCACGTGATCCGACCTGGCAGGTCAGCTGTAAGGTACAAATTTGGATTGCCTGTTCAGAACTTAAAAGCTGTCAAATCTAGCTGCATCGGCTTAGAAAGAGATATAATTTAGGTATACAACTTAGATAAGAGTGATGCAACTTGATATGAAAAACAAGAACTAAAGCCTCGTTTTTTAGCAATATGAAGCATTCTGGTGAAACTTACCGGTCTGTGCTACGCACGAGCGGGTTCTGCTTAAACGAAGTGATCAAACAGCTTAAGTTGTGTATTCTATGCTGGCGACAATCGAAATTTGATTTTTAATATAACCAGTGCTTGTTCAGTTGCGTCGTTTAAACATTAGCTCCTGGCATGCTGAAGGTCGATTATTGCCAGCATAGGATCTTCCAGCACACAATGACGAGAAACCGGGAGATCAAGGCCTCTCTTGCTCATATGGAATTATGGAGCATTTATTAGTATATGTTATGAGAACTCCCAACGCCTTAAGGTGGTGCCCATGTTTACTAGTGACCAAAGCACTGCCTTAAAACGTCGATCATTGTCATAAACCATGCCCATCAATGATACTTAAACCAACGAACAGTTACTGGCATATTTAACGCCAAACATTTTCGGCAAAATGCCTCAGCGTTTAAATTGTATACCACGTAAGGTAAGTTAAGGTTTGTACCACCTAACGTAAATCATGTTTGCACCGGATCAGATGCAGAACATGCGAAGCCAAGGCGACGTGGAGCAATGTCTCACAGCGCGCTGACAGGTTGATGAGCGAAAGTCGCTCAGTAAGGACCGCGCAGAACCTGAGCACTAACAGTAAAACAACGATAGCGGGAGGGCGTGACAACACAAAGCAAGCTGGGCGCGCTGCCAGGCGGGCACAACCGAACGGGACCACCATTGTTCGGCCGGCCCCAGTCGGTGTGCCCTCTCGGGGGCCCGTCAGTACCCCGGACGCCCCGCGGTGCCAACCAGAGGCGGCCGGTTAATTTTACCTCGGCCGCCCGGACGCCAAGAGCCCGCCGGCCGCGCCGCCGGCTCGTCAATTCGTGTCCGATGGTGGCTGCCGACGCATCGGGCCCCGGCAGCAAATATTGTCGTCGGCGCGTCGAATCGACGACACCCGCGGTGCCGCTCAATCAGTGCCGTGTGCTCCCGCGGCACGTGGACGGTACCGGACGGAGAAACCCGGCACGTGCCACGTGGACGCCGAACAGGCTCTGCTGACGTGGCCTGCCACGTGGCTGTCGGCGACCATTTGACCTCGCCGCGATCTCAGCGGCGGCGCGACCCGGCCTGGACGTGCGGCGTGAGCGGCACGGCGGCCGGCGCCGGCGCCGGAGCCGGGGGGCGGTCCTCGCGCGGCACGTCAGCGCTGGATTGTGATCTGGGCGGGTCCCGCGGGCCGGCCGCCGTCACGCCCGCCGCCGCCGCCGCCGCCGCTGGGAACCGATGGCGCCGAGATTGTGACGGGCCGCGGCGCCGCCGGCCGGAAGTGGCCCGCTTCCGGCTGAGGTCGACCTTACCTGCCGGTCTGTGAGGCCCGCCCGCGGAGGCGGTCGGAAGCGGACGGGGATCGCCGCGGCGCCGACGCGCTGGCGGTCACCGCCGCCGCCGAGTGGGTGGACAATCTGGCGACCTGGTGGCATGCTGCGCCGCCGTGACCTCGGCTAGGCCAGGCCGTCTGTGACATCAGCGGTGAGGCCAGACCAGCGCCGCGATGACGGTGTCGTACCAGAACGAAGTGGCCTCGTCCACGAGCGGCGGCTTCACGCGGTTGCTGGTGAAGTGGCGCGGCTCGCTCTACAAACTCATCTACCGCGAGCTGGCGCTCTTCTGCATAGCCTACGCGGCCGTCAGCGTGATCTACTGGAGGCTGATGGATGAGGCGCAGAGGCGGTCAGTTTTGCCGGGGGGGGGGAGGGGGGGGGGGGGCGATGTGGGAGGTAGAGGGGGCTGGAAAAGATGGAGACATTAGGACATGACTGACCTTTGACCTGGGGTCGGCAGGGAAGATAGAACAAAGAAGGTTGGGTGGTTCGAAGTGCGGTGTGCACTGGGGTGAAGAAGCGACGTAACGACGGCAGGTATACATTGCTTAAGCATTCAATGGTGCAGTATAGTAAGTGTCAGTCAGTACATGCAAAGGGTGCAAGGGAAGCCTTCCAATGATGTCTTCAGAGAAGAGGTGAATAAGCTCAATCTGGAATCATTCCGATAAAAAGGAGCATTTGAACCAGGCAATGTTGCATGCTATTTGACCAAATGTCATATATATATATATAAAAGTATGTATGTAGGTATGTTGAAACCTTTTGATGCAACGGTTCTCAACAAAGTTATATCCAGTTATACGGCCAAATAGCAGCCTTTAAATAAACGGGGTGAAGGCCGTACGTGCCTTGCCATGCATCTCAGAAGTACGTCGATTGCATTATTAACACGGCTGTAGAAACAAAACTGGGCCGAATGTTTAATCCAGTCAGACGACAGTACAGAGTGTAGATGCATAGTATGCATAGTATGAGCGTTAAACAAATCGAGCTTATGTCTATTCCGAGAGATGAGATCTCCCGCCAGCGCATGCGCATTCTCACGCCTGCTCTGTACTGGGGTTTGGTCTGGTACTGCGGCGTCTTGCCGTCTCTTGATGTCACGGCGTCTTGGATGTCTCTTGATGTCTTGGCGTCTCTCTTGATGTCACGGCGTCACGAAGCCTGTATAGGTATCCGTAACGCGTCGTTTTTCTTCGGTCGCTGGCAGTGAAACCGGTAAAGAGAGGAGGGGAAATTCATAAAAGATGGTGGCGTGGTTTCATTGCCTCGTTAACACCTCCGCCCAACGCTGCGGTCCGCCGTCTAAATTCACCAACGGTCTGAGCCTACGTTTTTAACTCTGCCATGACCACGGGACACGGATCTGGTCCGTTCCAGTTGACTGCGGCGCGGCTGCAGCCAGCACCGGGACCCCACGTGGGGTGCAGACCTGACGACCTGTACCTGGCACGGTTCGCACCAGCGCGCTGCCGGCTGGGGGGCTCAGCGGAGGGACGGGGGTAGCCGTTGCGCGTGTCCCTGCTGGGAGGGTTGGCGGGGGGCGGCCCCTGTGCGTGCCCCTGCTGGGAGGGTCGGCGGGGGTGGCCCCTGCGCTTGCCCCTGCTGGAAGGCTCGGCGGAGGGCGGCCGCTGTGCGTGCCCCTGCTGAGAGGGTCGGCGAGGGGCGGCCCCTGAGCGTGCCCCTGTTTGCGGACGTCACAGCGCGGCTTCGACAGCAACTTGTCGGCCGCTGTTCCGTGCGTTTCCACGCTGTATGTCTGCAGCTGCACCAACGACAGTGCTCAGGCGTTGAAACCAGCCAGTCTGAGCACACATGCGCCACTGTCTGGCTTGCTTGCTGACTTCCAGACTTCAGTTGTTTGATTTTCGAATTTGGGCAGCGGTGGAGTGGGGAGGGCGTCGGGGCATGGTGGATGCGTCGCTGGACAGGGCTTATCCACAGATCTGGCTCCAAAACTGCGTAAAAGTTCGAAGGCAAGTGTAAATGGCCAGAAACAATAGCTGACGTGGGGGAGCCGAACTGATGCCTACTGATGCGTGGCTCAACCGGTAAAGTTCATCGGCCTCTTTGGCTGCTCTGCAGGACGATTTATACCCTGAGAGTGAGCCTGCAGCCTCAGTCATGACCTTAAGGCCGTCAACGCGAGATCGACTGGTCTTCCTGGAGGATGGGTCAGAAGGAACAGCATGCTATAATTTTTTATTCCCACATATCGGTTTTGGCGATAGCTTATGCTCGCGGCACACGACGTTTCACGGCGATCGGTAGCCGCAGAAATGTCGGAGTTTCTAGCGCTGAAGAACTAACGCAGAAGAGGCGGGTGCCTCTCTGACGTGAGGGATTGAGTGTCTTTCTGAAAGTACGTGACAAAGCTGTCACCATCTGATAGCGGATACACATAAGAAACCCAACGTAGAGCACAAGATGGGTGTTTGGCCACTGACTGCCACATGTGGGCTATTACGTGCGCCTGCTACCGGGCACAGCCGAGCGGTAGCACCAGTACGTGGCACACACAAGTGCACACAGACAGTGCGCTGGGACGAGTAGACTGCAAGTGTGGCGCATACCACGCGGCGGGCGCTGAACAACTTGGTTTGGAGCCTTGCACGCTGCGATACAACGCGTCTGGAACGTGCCTAAGCGCCCGCCATGGCAGAGGAGTGCGTCTGGAACGTGGCTAAGCGCCCGCCATGGCAGAGGAGTGCGTCTGGAACGTGCCTAAGCGCCCGCCATGGCAGAGGAGTGCGTCTGGAACGTGGCTAAGCGCCCGCCATGGCAGAGGAGTGCGTCTGGAACGTGCCTAAGCGCCCGCCATGGCAGAGGAGTGCGTCTGGAACGTGGCTAAGCGCCCGCCATGGCAGAGGAGTGCGTCTGGAACGTGCCTAAGCGCCCGCCATGGCAAAGGAGTAATAAATGCAAAGGTATATACCTAGCAACTGTCATACGCGGAATAAAAAATTGGCGCATGCAGCAGGTTTGGTGTAAGTTCAACTGTTTGGTGTAAGTTCAACTGTTTCGTCGTAAGAAAAGTCACAGTGCAATGGACTCAAAATCAAACCAAAGACACGTCAACCCCAACACAAGAAATCAACAAGAAGCAATTCCTGTCGGACAGGCGCTGTTGTCATCTTCTTGGGGCTGCGCGGTGCCCTACATACCCCACTGATCTTTAAAAAACAAGGTTGAGTCAAACGCGAGATCCTACCGGATGGCCCACGTCAAGCTGTGTCAGATAAAAAGGAATGCTCCGCAATTAAAGATGTTGAAGAAAACATCAGATATGATGAAATAAGCTCACTTACAACTATTGGTATGTATATTACGCCTATTGGCATTGGTATTTAACTGTTTTAGGTCAAAAGACTGCTCTAGACAAAACACTCCCTTTTTAATAAATATGCTTCTCAATACGTCATTGTTTAATTCAACTGACGGTCGTTATATCTGGAAATTCTGCTCATATACGCCAGACAGGAGCGACTCGACAACCGCATTTTTTTACTGGGCTTGAATGACGTTATTATGGTCCCATGGATGCTTGGATGACCTTGAAGTAGTCCCCATGAAATAGTCTGCACATCTTTGCGGTCGTGTAGTTCATAAACTAGAAGGGCTTAGGTCTTCCAGAGCAGAACAGGGCTGTAAACTGCACCGGATGATCTGCAAAATGACTTTTTCAGTTCAAAACCCCATACAAATATGGAACACTCCCTTTAATATTTCTGAATGCGGAGCATGTGGTCTTTGACGGGGCGACTCCGTCCACGAGTTGAAAAATGATTTTAAACTCCAGTTATGTTTATCATTGTGCGATAAGGAAACACACGGGACCGGACTGTGCCTGCCATGCTACGCCAAAACTCGGTTAATGGGACCTGTAGCGATGTGACGGTGATGGAGATATCCTTGTGTGAGAAATGTCGTGTCTTAAACAGATTAGCGGGGACGAGACCTGAAACCAGCAATTAAAAGCTGCCACGGATTGGCTACCCGGCGGCACCAGACCGTCATTTCCTTACCCACATGCTCGCGTGTGCTCATGTCCACACGTCTAGGACAGGCCGTTACATGGGCAGCAGGCATACTTATCTTCACGTGTGCAGAGAGGGTATACTCTCATTCGCAGGCCCACAAAGGACGTAATTCCATCCACATATGCGCAATGAACATGCCTTACATGCCTCTTTTCACATATCAGCAGCGGACATTTATATGCTGACATTTCCGGAGCGCGCACTCCTTGGTCTGGATGGTCACAACACATGACATGCCTGTTTTAGCCCAAGCGCAAACGACATAGTCTATCTGGGGCCGACATGCGTGGATTGTATCCCGAAACTGCGGGATGTGCCCAAAAACGAGACACGTGCTCACGTGCATTTTTTATATTTTGACAAGGCAACATCTGTGACCTCTGTGTCCTCAAAGTCGAAGGCTGCCGGGCCAGGTCTATCCCTTCGCAGCAAGTCTGCCTGTCTATGTTTGGCCATTTCTCTCGCACAGCCTGTAACAGGGCGTCCCATGGCGCATAATCGGTACGTTTCATGTTAGCTCCATGACACGTCTTTGATCTGCCCCCGTACCAGTGCTACAGCACGCGTTTTTAAGCCGCATGTTAGGGCCATGACGCGAATTTGGTGTGCTCTCCGCAGGTTCCAAGACATGTCTTTAGTCCGCCCGCGTCGGTCCCGTATCGCGCCTTCGATTCGCCCCATGTTGCTTCAACTGAACGCCACTGGTCTGCCCCGTTTCGGTCCCAAGGCACGGCTTTGATTTGCTCCACGTCGGCTCCATCAAACACCCCTGGCCTGCCCCATGTCAGTCCCATGCCACGCACTTGACCCGCCCCATGTCGGCTCCACTGAACGCCCACGGCCTGCCCCATGTCAGTCCCATAGCACGCCGTCTGTCGGAGCCAGGTTTGTTCCGCGGCGCTACGCTGCCGGCTCGGCGTGTTTTGATGGCGGCCTGTCGTTTGATGCCATCGGCTCGCCCTCCAGACCCGAGTAAACTATCGATTGACGAGAGCCGCGGCTGCGCGTCGTCGTACCGCGGCGTTCTCTGGTGGAATTTCATAGGTACTCTTTATCAGTTAGCGCACAGTTCACTGGAATGACGGGCCGATAGCGGAAGCTCGGAGAACTGTTGACGGTGTGTATGCTGTTCAGTGCTTCCATGTAGCATGTCTGTGTATTATCATGCCACATGTTTTGTATTCTGTGTATGTGCATTTGTAACTTCGTGTATGTGCATAATGTATTGCCATATTCTACTCTATGCGTTATTCACTACAGGTGTCTCCTTCGGTTAGGATGTGGGGATAAGCCGATGATGCTGTAGGATATGTGTGACGAATGGAAGCGGACCGTTTCTTTGTATGGACCATGAATATCATGCAAAGGTCTCAGCGAGGCCGTTCAAGATAATCAGCGAATGGGATCTGTGGCAAATCAAAAGAAAAATGTCGATTGACGAACTAATTCCTTAGATATTGATAAAACTATTTTGCGGATTTATTGCAAGCTGTAAATCCATTCCGAAAGCTGTGGTATGTTCAAAGCAGCACACCAAGAGTTATAACCTCCAGAACTCTGGAGAGGTCGCGTAACATAAACATTTTCAGAGACGTAGAGCTCAAAGCTCAGAATCAGACAATTAAATTTTGAGCAATGTGTAAGAATTTGATTTCTAGATTTGTTCATTCGGTAACGTCTTGAAAAAATGACTGCATAACTTAGCGTTGCTTTACGTATCGGCAAATTGAGTCTGATGGGACGCCGAATGTTCAGAAATGTCGGTGTTTCGTCCACTGGGCCACAGACTGTCGCCACGTACAACCCACGTAAGCTGGCAATGTTCTGAGGACACCTGATATCATGAACGGGTTACACAGCACTGCTTTGACTACCAAACTGACCCGCAGTTACGCTGAAGTGAATAATAACGTCACTAGCAAAAATTATTTCATGTTTGTATTCGATAATTGGACGACCTCAAATTCTACAGCCATGATAACAGACGTAATTCGGCAGACATGTGATTGCACTCTCATGAGGCTTGAGATCCTCTTGGAGTAAGTGAATGAAAGTGACTGTAGGTCGCACGGTGCTGGGTGATCTGAACATTCCGATTACATGAAGGGCAATGGTGAAATACTGCACAAGTACTCTGCTCGCGCTTTTGTTGGATAAATAATGCTAACTTTATGCCGATCTGATCATAGAGTTATGTGCTTTCAAACAGTGCTTTCAAACAATATCAAATGTAATATCTTCAAATACCAAGCTGCTACAAATGACGAGTTATGGTTCCGAATGATATACAAATTTAGCAGTAGCCTCTTGCTCCTCGTTGATTCAAAATTGTACAAGATCGCACAAACATCGCTGAAATATGCAGATAAACGCAGCATGTAAAACGTAATCATAAAACATTTTCTGGTCCAAGACAGTTGGTTTCAAAAGTTAAAAATTAATTCGCAATACATCCACCGCCCTACGACTATCGCACAGGTACATACCATGAATGCCAATTAGTGAAAACGCAAATTTGCTGGTGGTCAATGCCATTACAAAATTGCTTTTGCGTTGCCATGTTTTCACCATCAATACCACTTTTGCCTCACCCCTATGTGGTGCCTGACATGCCCTTTTTAGTTAAGAGCAAAAACCCATTACGCTCCCCACCTAGATGTCCGCTAATCACGGTGTATGTTGTTTTGCAGCGTATGCCACCGCATCGTACTCCAATATAGGACTTTCAGCGGCAATGCCTCCCACGCCAACTGTGGGCAGGCAACGCCGAAAACGAGTTGCAGTTAGTCGCAGATGCGTAGGTCACGACCATCCCGACCCCAAAACCTTAAGGTCACGAGGCCAGCAGACACCGATCTGCAGTGCCCGCCCAGCTGCCTGTAACTAGCTCGCTGTGTTTTAGCCTACAATGCGCTGCCAAGCACAAGCCAAATGCACCCAAACAATTCCGTTTAAAATGGGTGTATCAAATTGGTTCGCCCTGCTGACCCGTCTGCACCCGTCCGCCGTCAGGACCTTCGACCTTCTCCGGGCGTACTGCAACACCTTCATCAACCTGATCCCGCTGTCGTTCGTGCTCGGCTTCTACGTCAGCTTCGTGGCGCAGCGCTGGTGGCAGCAGTACATGGCCATCCCGTGGCCGGACAAGTGAGCCGCGCCGGCGGCCGTCCGTCGACGCCCGTCGCGGCGGAGGGGCGCGACATTCCGAGACGCCGTCGATATCGGTGGCGCCGCCCGGGGACGGGTCGCGGGCGGGTGACACGACGCAGCCCTGCGGAACTGTGCTGCTGGTGACCTCAGCGTGCGGGGGCGGAGGGAAGCCCTGGTGTCGCGGGGCCTGGGATCCGGTGGGTTTAAACGGTAGAGTAGCGGTGCGCTGACCGCTGGCGCAGCGCTGACGTTGACACCCGACACGGCCTGACATGCCTCGATGACACGTTTTGACATCGCTGATAAGACTCGCGGCGTGTTCGTGATTTCGTTCGGGGGTGGGGGCTGTCAGACTTACACAAGCCCCAGCCATCGAGTTGTGAAGCAGTCATTATTAAACCACCCATAAAGCGAAAATTCTGATTTGCTTTTTAAGCTAGTAAAGATCTCTACAACGCCATGCTGCGTCGACTTTAAATGATGTAAGGCGCATCATCTATGAACCCAAGCTATCGCACTATGCACGGAGCACTTCCGGAAATGAATAGCTTTTCTTAGCCATGTTGATCCATTGATGACGCACGCGGTGGCACCGAGAGGCAGCCTCTTAAGCTAACTTTCCAAAGGTTGTAACCACATGAGCATAGCTGCTTGATTTAGGAGCAATTAGCTAACATGTAAGAATACCTTAGAAAAATTTGGTCAAACCTAAATAATCTGACGAATCGTTGTCACTCTTCGTACACCCTAACTTTTTGCAGACTGAGGCCCTTGCCAAACGTAAAACTTGAGGACTCTCTTCGCAGATCGGGCCCTTGCTGAACCTAAAACTCCGGCATTCTCTCTGCAGACTGGGACCTTTGCTGCACCTTAAACCCAAGGATCGCCTCCCGTGTACGGGGCGTACGGGTTAATGACCCCGATGATTTGTTCTTCTGAATGTTCCCGTTAGTCTCTCTGTGTTACTTAGGGCTTAAAGGGCGCTTCCTTTGTGCCATCAGAGACAAACCAACCACCTCGGTCCCGTAGTATACGTGGTCGGCGCCCTATACATTACGCAACACGCAGTGTTTGAGTAAACGTACTGATGCCTTCACCCTAGCTTTCAGACACGCTCGGAAGCTCTAAGTGATTAAAATTTTCCGGCTGACTACCCTTCTCTGAAAATCCAGATGCTGGCCTCCATTTTTAGGATAAATGTTGCTTTATAACAAAAATATATTGCACCACTACTTTATCCAGTTTGATTCAACGTACCCTTTTCATCCCTGGATTTTTTTGTCTGTGCATGGGAACCATGCGCCAACGTTGTAATACCATCACAACACCTTAACCTGCCACGTAATCTACAGTGCAACTCAGCTCTTTACGTGGAAATTGCTTCCTGGAAATGTAGCCTTAATTGACTGCATGCCACTGTGGTGACAGTGTGACTCTATTGAGCTCCGGCGGTTTTGTCTGACACGTCACCATGCATGACACGTCGTCTGTTAATGTCTTTGAAAGGATCTTATGCGACCTAAGGCTACTGCGTTTGCCGTGATTATACCACACCACTTCCAGACGTTTTAATACGGACATGCTGTTCAAACAAGCTGACTGGCGTGATCTCGGTGTCACACGATCACCAGATACGATCTCAAAATAATCGCCAATCACCTCAGTTCCGCTCGAAATGAATTTGACTCGTGCACAGTGGCCCTGGACAGCAATCATGCGCAGACAGTGTCGCAGGCCGCCGAGAAATAAAGGCTATTTACGTAAATTATTTTCATTTTATGTTACACCATGCCGTAATGTCTAACTTCAAGATTATTGGGGGACACATCTGCTTCTTCTCCTTAGTGACATCTCTGCTGCACCCGGACTACTCCCACGTAAACCGCACTGAGCTACCGTGACCCCAGACTACCCTCACACAACTCGCACTGACCTGCGGTGACCCCGGACTGCCCTCAGGTGACCCGCACTGACCTGTAATGACTCCGGACCGCCCTCACGTGACCCGTGCTGACCTGTGGTGACCCCGGACCGCCCTCGCGTGACCCGCACTGACCTGGGTGACCCGCCCCCGGCAGGATCCTGCACGCGATCGCGCTGTACGTGCGCGGTGTGGACGAGAACTCCCGGATGATCCGGCGGACAATGGTGCGCTACCTGAACCTGTCGCTCATCCTGCTGCTGCGCTCCATCTCGTCAGCCGTTAAGCGACGTCTGCCCACGCTCGAGCACCTCGTCGAGTCCGGTGAGCGGGGGTCGCGCGCGGTGAGATGGGGACGAGTGCGCTGAGGTAGGGTTTGGTGCCCGGTTGACGGTCGAGTGAGGTGAGAAGGCGTCGAGTGGGAGAGGTGGGGTCGGGAGGGTCGAGCAGGGTGTGGCGCGGCGGGACAGAGCTGAGCGCAGTGAGTTAGAGGCGAATACGGCGAGATAGGGCCGGGTGCGGTGAGATGGAAGTTGCTATGGTGCAGTAGCCTTGAGCTCGATGAGCTAAGACCGGTTCTGGTGAGACAGAGCCGAAACCACTGAGCCAAAGCTCTTCATGGTCACGAGAATCGAAACTTGTTTGCATGAAAATATCCTGATGGGGCAGATTTTTCCTTGATGAGGCGGAATTTAGCCTGGCGAGAGAGAGTCAAGTGATATGGGTAAGAGTCACGTGCTATGGATAAGAGTCACGTGCTATGGGTAACAGTCACGTGCTATGGGTCAGAGTCACGTGGTATGGGTAAGTCACGTTGCATGGGTAAGAGTCACATGCGGTGAATCAAAGACGGATACGGTAAGAGGCAGAGTCGGCGTAGCGAGGCATAGTCAAGTAAGATTATGAGCGGTCGATATGGTAAAAGGCGGCCTATCAATACAGCCAATAAAGCACGCGGCCAAGCGCTGTCCAAATAGCATGTCCGTTATGCCTTCTTTTACTTAAACGATGTCTGACCAGCTTGTGTGACTGTTCTCACACATGGTAGACATCTGTCTGCTGCCTTCGGCAATTCCTCGCCTGTCGACTTGGCTCGGGACCAGGAACATACGCGTAACTTGGTAGTCCAAAGGTTTAGAACTGATGCGTACAGCACCTTGGAAATCATCCTTCGACATAAATACATCAACGCGCAAGTAAGGGGACACATAACTGGACTGACGAGGCAAAGTATACTGCGGTTAGGTAGATTCAGGTCTGCTGATGCAGTGCCGGGCTGGGGTTCCAATTTAGAAGAGTAGGCATCGATTACGACGAGATGAGGTCGATTGCAGTAGTACGGAGGTCAGCCCAGTGACACAGAAGCGCCTGGTGAGCGAGCCGATTGCAAAGAGGCCGACGTGCGGCCGGTGTAGCCAGGATCAAGGTGCGGGCAGAATGATGGGCTACCAAAGAGCTGTATTTGCATTCCGGTATATCGGTACTGTACACCTATTATCAGGAAAGTTGTCGGGATTTTGTGACGATGGCGTGTGTCCGGAATCAGTGAGGACTCGTGAGAAACTCAACAAAGATCGCAGATCCGATTCGTTTGGAGATGTCTGCACTGCCGATTTCGAGCCTTTCGTTCCTTCCGTCAGGGGCCCTACGCGGCGCCAACATCCAATGAAAATGTGGGCCGAAAGCGCCCCTTTGGCTGTGCATCTGTACATCATTATGAAACAACTTTCACATCAGTGCATGCGGCACAAACCCTAATTCCGACATGAACTTACAGAGACCGGCATCAGCCATCGCCTCGGACCCGCGCGGCTCCTGTTTTCTTCTGCTCTCACCCGTCAGTCATGACTCGGACCCTTCCATGCTATGCCATGTTTAAACTGCGGCAGTGGTCGAGGGATGCGGGATATAAGCTCGGACGTAAAATGTGCATTGCCAAAGTATAAAAATGCAACACGCACGCGCTGGAAGTGCGCAACAGAGCACTCGATTTTTCAGCAAGGCGGAAGCAGCGCGAAGCCACGTTCATGAGCCTTACAAATGCGCGCGCACCGAGGCAGCTCTGGTCCCGATAATTATTTCTTAGGTATCAGACTACATTGAGTATGATATAGCAAAGTGATACAAAAATGTTGTTGGGTATGGTATAAATTCTGACTGGTGTTTAGCAGTTATCGCCTAAGCCTAAATCTAACTCTTCGACAGGTTTAAGTTGAGCTCTGAACAGGAAGTGGGCGCGGGAAAAATCGAATGGGAAGTGGACGATTTTTTTACCTCCGAGACCCTGACTTTCTCACGAGAAAAGATGGCTGGTAGATCGGCGCGACTGCTCGCTGCAATGCTGACTTGCTGCAAATTTTCAACATTTTCTCATCACTTTCACAACAGGCCAGAATTGAGTCGTGATCAAATTGCTTCGTTAACTTTACAAAATATAAAGCCGGTTCAGGGACTCACACTTCGCAGCGTCAGTTTTTGTCTGTGCGTGCACGTTTTCCCATCACGTGTTCAGTGGCTTCCGGCCAGTCACGACAGTCAGCAGCAGCGATTTCCATTGTTGCTCAATTTGGATTATTTCCTCCAAGACGACCGATGTTATGATCTAGCTGGAGCTTCCCCACTGCTAGCGATCTTTGTGAGGGATCGCTAATGGTTCTGAGACCCCAGTCGACCGTGACACAGGCGTGACAGGCTGTCACATCATTAGTCATAGATGACGGATCGCCGTCACGTTCGGCGCGCTGCCACCAGTCATCGCACAGTGCATTCACCCATATGTGTGGTGTAAGTCCTCCACGTAATATGGAAATGCAAAACAAATCTGTATACGTCGCCTTCGCAAGATTTTGTACATCAGCCAGTAGTTTCCAATATATACACACACACTATATATATATATATATATATATATATATATATATATATATATATCCTATGCAAACAACGATGTTATGCTACAAAAGGCACAAAATATCTTCGCCGATAATGAAAAATCACCTCATCCAAAACAGAGAAGATGAAGGTAGACATCCTCATTCATTCATTCTAAACACTCGCCAGGAAAGTGTTGGTCACGAACACTACCATATAAGCACGCATCACCGACCATAGACGCCTCGCCACACTTGAAACATTGCACATCAGGCAGAGTGCTCATCTTCGAACTTGCGCAATTAAGCCACTGCATGACGTCAGCCCCCCCCCCTCCAAAGTACCAACCACCAAACGGATGAAGCATTGACTTGATGTGAAAAAGAACACTTTTTTCAAACGTACAGCATTACACCTCAAATTAGCGCATGCGGCTTTATTACCTCCAATGTCGTAAGCGTTAACTTCGTAAAAATAAAGTAACGCATTCTGATATACTGTGTGTAATTGTTTAATTACCAAGGAAATGATTGCTGAAATGACCAAAGGGGTAACATTTTGTACTGACGTATCGAAAACGACAGGCGTACATACGAAGCCTCGGACATATGACCAAGGAGTTTATATGCGCTGAAGTTATTCGCTTAGATATCAACCATGAAAAAGTAGGGTATTTCGTGCTTTGGATAGCTTTCTGTTAGGGTGCAAATAGCTAATGCAGTTGACACGTCCTTAAACTCAATAAATAACCAACCAGCTGTCTATTAAATTTGCCAGTCTTTCAATCTCTGGTTCTCCAGCTTATGTCCGCAACTGACGAACTTACATTCATAACACAAAGTACGAGCAGGAAACCAACAATGGACTTCTCTTTGGGTAACACTCCCTACTGTTTTGGCTCGGCAAAAAACATATCATTGTGTTGCCAAATCGAATCCATCATAAACATCACGCACTGTGTCCTACACATTCCGCACAGCAAATCACAAAACTGCATGCTTCTAACGACCCTTAGCGTTTTTTTTTTTGTCATGTTCATTTTATGTGTGATTTGGTTACGAAGCTGCCCCAAAGAGATAGCTAAAAAGCTTTATTCTTTTGTGTGTTTAGTGCTGGTGTGTAGTCATGAACGAGCGAAGTTTCCAGCTTTTTGAGTTTTCTTGCATCGTGTGCTGATGCTAAAATCTCAATATGCTGTGTGAAAATTTGCCGCGTGAGGCGATTGCTATAGCAGCGTTGCATGTGAGTTCTTGGTGCCCCGTCCGTGGGGTGCTTTGTAAGCCGTCGGGACAGCGACGTTGTAAAAACGCCAATGTAGCACACAGAACGAAACCTGCAACCTTCGTTATGAAATAAACGAACCATTGTTTGCCAGCTTGCACACGGCTCATTTTTAACGCATATACTAGTCCACTTGTTCACTTCATATTCAGCACTTTCTTAGCAACCTCACGATCAGACTTGCAGCTTTCAGCTTTCAGACTTTCAGATATGTGCATGACATCCTGATGGACGCAAAGGAGTTAAACCATTTTGTCTGCCTCATTGCGGGGTTTCGCCCGGGCTACAAACTTCCCTTTCTTGGTGCACTCGTAAGGGCCCGCAGATGGTGTTTTGTAACACCCGCACATCGAAAGACCTGTCAAGAGTAGAAGCAAAATGAGCTCCCGCGGTGAGTGTCCGAAACGATTTAAAAACGGCGTTGTTGGAGCGTTTTGTCGTGGGGCTTTGTGCATATGTCCGAGCTTTGAGCTATTACGTGCTCAACTGAACAACGTCAAACAAATACAGGCGAAAAATGGGAGCACGAATGGCGAAGTCGACAACGAAATAAATGCTTGATAATCGTTTGAACTACAACCAACAGCCTAAAAGCCAGTCCGACTACAACATAAGCTAGTTCCTACCGTACATCTGTGGATTCTGCATATGGCAAATGTGATATTCTGCGCATGTTCGACGAAGAAGTATTTAAAACTATGGTGTCAAAAAACGTGATAGAGGTTAACAGTAGCATGCTTTGATTGCAGATATATTGCAATGATCGCAAAACTTATGCATCTCTTTCTGAAAAAATACCCTATAACGACAGAGCTGTTGAAGGGCAAAGATGTGCTGTGCAAAATATATTTTCCTAACGAAGCTTTCATGCTTCGCTTTGGATGTTACATTGGCGTCATTGCAACCTCTCTGTCCCCACGGCTCGCAATGCACCTTTGCTTTGGAGGGGGCATTAAGAGATCACCTGCAACACCACCATTGTACTCGTCGTACGCGCCAAATGCTCACACAGCGTATTGAAATCCCAGCACCAGCACACGACACAGGAAAACTCAACATTCTGGAATCAGTGCCTGTTCATGACCACACATCACCATTAACAGACAACCGCATCAAACCTTTGCTGATTTGTTTGCAGCAACAAACCTTTGATTACTCCTTTGGAGCAACATCGTAGACAAATCGCGCATACAATGAGCATAACGTCAAAAGAAACGCGAGGGCAATGGGTCATTTAGTGACATGCAGTTACGTGATTTGCTTTGCTGAATGCGTGGTGTATATGGGTAGTATGTATGTAGTATATATATATATATATATATATATATATATATATATATATATATATATATATATATATATATCTCTCTCTCTCTCTCTCTCTCTCTCTCTCTCTCTCTCATCTCTCTCGCTCTCTCTCTCTCTCTCTCTCTCTCTCTCTCTCTCTCTCTCTCTCTCTCTCTCTCTCTCTCTCTCTCTCTCTCTCTCTCTCTCTCTCTCTCTCTCTCTGTACATTTATCTTCCTTTCCCTCCCTTCCTTTCTCCCTCCGTTTCTCTGACGAATGTCTCCCACCTCCCGCGGGCGGAGTACTGGAGCCCGTTCGCCACCATTACTACACGGCGGTGGCAATCCTGCAGGTTTCATGACGGCCACGGAGCTGGAGGAGTTCAGCAGCGTACCCAGGAAGGAGTTCAACACCTACTGGATCCCCTGCTGCTGGTTCGTCAGCTTGCTGAGAGAGGCGCGCATCACCAACCACGTGATCGACTCGCAGGGCCTGAAGCTCATCGTTGAGGTGTGAGTCGCGCCTTGTCAAGTCCGCGGCTTCCACTGTATCCAGCCGACAGTCCGTCTGTTTTGAAATATTTCGCCCCGGCTGTGTCGAGTCTGCAGCCCGTAGTGTGCTAGACGGCAGCATATCCTGCGTCGAATCGGCCCTTTTTGTATCGGTCAGGCAGCATCTGCTGTGTTGGACCAGTAGTTTTCCTGTGTTGAGTAAGGGGCATTTTCCGTACTGAATCGGCAGCCTTCTGTGTCGAGTCACGCCTGTTGTGAATCTGGTTGGCAGCCTCTTTTGTGCCGATTCAGCAGGATGTGCCGATTCAGCAGTCACTGCTGTTTTGAATCGGCACCCTTTTGTGCTGAGGCGGTGATGTCACCTGCATCGAATCGGCAATCCCTATTGTGTCAAATTAGCGCCTGTCCGTGTTGTCACCCCCGTCTCAGGTCAACAGCCTTGTCGTGGGGTCATGTGGAGTCGGTCCCGAGTCAAGTGGAACATGTGCCATTCCAGGTCGAGCTCCTATGTCCCGACTCTGCACCCTACGCCATGCCGGGAGAGCTCGCTCTGTTCTGTTAACCTCTCCCACCATCCCTCTCTGTTAGGAGGCTCTGATCCGTTAACCTCTCCCAACCTCCCTGTTTTCACGCCTCCACGTCTATGACGGTACTCTCCCATACCTGTCTATGTGTCATTTCACACCCCTCGTTTCGCCCTGTCTCACTGCGTTGTTGCCGCCTTGTTGCGTCAGCGATCAGCAGGCTTGCACTGTGCAGTTCTTGCAATGAGTGCACACCTGCTGAACGCACTGGACCTTCTGTTCGCTTAACTGCCCTGTTTCACATTTCTGTTAACTTCCCCGTGCACATCAAGCATTGCTCAATGCTTGTTTACCGTATATGTTCCCAAAGAACGTTTTCATCGCTCACTTGCACACATGTGTAGAGTCTGGTCATTTCCTATTAACTTTAGCCTTCGCAACTTCCGTTTTTCGGTGCGCGCATTGCAGATGCCCCGCACTTACCGCATATTTCACAAATCCATCGCTCTCTCAAACAAGGGCGTCGACCTGGAGCACTTGCAACAGTCCTCAGTGTCGCATTCCGCGCTGATGCACATGTAACTGTTATGTCTGCAGACCTTACAAGCCTTAATGTTGAAGCGACATCACAGATGCGATGTCAACCAGGTGGGCGGCCTGGCGGTGAGACTGGGTGATCAATAGCCAGCCGCTACCTTTGCTGACGTTGCTGCACGCCTTGCTAGCGTGTCTGACCGCCAGTGACGTGGCAGACAACTGTACGTAAAACACCAGTCTATCGAGCGTGTCGGAACGGTGTGTAAGTCGGCGCGCACGACCGTTCCAGACCTTCAACGAGTACCGAGCCAACTGTGGATTGCTGTGGAGCTACGACTGGGTCAGCATCCCCCTGGTCTACACTCAGGTGAGATGCACGCCCGCCGCCTGCGCCCCTTTCCCTGCAGCGCGCCGCGCGCCTCCGCCCCCTCCCTTCCCCAGCGGTCCACCAGAGCAGTCCCGCGCAGCCGCCGCCGCGCCGCGCCACGCCGCGCCGCGCCGCGCCGCGCCGCGCCGCCGCCGCCGCTCGACCGCGGCGCCCTCGGCCGGGTCGGGCCGGTCCGCTGTCACCGGTGCCTGGCCGGATGCCCGAACAAACGCGGTCGGCCCTGGTCGGCCACGCCTGTCTCCGCCGCCGCCGCCGCTGCTAGACGCCGGCACTGCCGCTGTTTGTCCCAGACGTGTCGAGCAGCTGCCGCAGCTCACCGACGAGCCCAGCTGCCCCCGTCCTCCATGGCCGGGCGCGCGACTAACGCGGCGCGTTCCAACGTGGCGCGCCGCTGTCTGCTGACTGCGCTCGTCTTGACGTGGCTAGCGGTGTAGTCTATCGTCCATTTGCTAACTCGGACATGGCCTGCGGGAGTCTGACGTCCATGGTCGCCCCTTCGTCATGTTGAACTTCCCTTCTACTGTTGGAGCTCTTCTTTTGCTGATGCCATTCCGTGTGTATATTTTTCTATTTTGCTGCGTGGATCCCTGCCCAGCTTTGAAAAGGGGACCGAATCCGTGACGAACATGTTTTTCCGCATTTTGAGAGTAGGGTTAGCCATTCCCCTCCTCAGTCGGCCGCCCCAAGCTTATATGGCGAAACTGTGCCCCTGAGTCCTTCTCTCTAAAGGACACAACCTTCTACCCATGCATACGAGCAGCCATTTCCTCTGAGTTCTGCCCACTGGTGTCACCACATCAGGTTGCCGTGGCAACGGCGTGCTTCTGCTTGCGATTGCGATCTTTCAGTTGCTTCGTGTGTGATGATCAATTGCTTCGTGTGTGATGATCATTACAAGCCACGCACATGTGTGTGCTGGAGACTCAAAATCCGTCTGCGAATGTGTTACACGCGTGCCCAGTGCGCTGCAGGCTGTCCCCGAGTCCAAGCGCTGCACACGCCAAAAACTGTCACAATTGTGCACGTCCACAACAACATGCCATGGATTACACCCATGTACCGCAAATTGGGCTCAATAGGGGGAGTGTGTCATAGTTCACCAATTGCTCATATTTACGATTTTTCGCTGATGGCGCGCGTGCTCCACAGTTTGTCGCTGATGGTATGCATGCATCACATATCACACTTATGGTACATGCCGCACATTGATGGCAAGTGGGGGATGTCCTTTGAATTCTCACCCGCTGCATGCGCGCGTCACCATGTGGGTGTGGTGGTGGTGCACCATGTGCATCACAACCGCACACTGCCGCCAGCTGTGCGTGTGCACGCCAATTTGTCACAGCTAACAGGAGTAAAGTTCAGGCTGTCCCCAGTCGCACGTGTGCACCACAGACTGTCACCAGTCGCGCGTGTGCACCGCAGGTTGTCACCATCGCCACGTACGCGTTTTTCGTGGCGTGTCTGGTGGGCAGGCAGCAGGAGGCGGGCCAGACGCTGCACGCGTCGGACGCCGGTCAGCTGGATCTCTACATTCCGCTCTTCACCGTTCTCCAGTTCCTCTTCTACATGGGTCTGCTCAAGGTGGGTGTACTGTGGACATGCCGTCATCCGGACCTCCAGCTGGCTTCACTGGTGTGACGCTCGTAGCTACGCCTGGAAATTAGCTACGGAAACAGGGAACAACGGTCAAGTTTACATTGCTTTAAACTGGCACGCACTCAACTTCCTTCAAAAATGACTCCGTTGGGTGGTGTCCTATTCAGCTGTTAACTACCCCCGATTTCAACGTGCATTGCGTGATTGTAGGTTTGCGCGGAGGAGCACGACAAAGCGTGGAAAGCATGCGCTCCCAGCAGCGTGTAAGGCAAAGGGGCGCAACAAAGCGTGGAAAGCATGCGCTCCCAGCAGCGTGTAATGCAAAGGAGCACAATAAAGCGTGGAAAGCATGTGTTCGCAGCAGCGTGTAATGCAAAGGAGTACAAAAAAGCGTGGAAAGCACGCGATCGCAGCAGCGTATAATGCAAAGGAGTACAACAAAGCGTGGAAAGCACGCGATCGCAGCAGCGTGCAATGCAAAGGAGTACAATAAAGCGCGGAAAGCACGCGATCGCAGCAGCGTGTAATGCAAACGAGTACAACAAAGCGTGGAAAGCACGCGATCGCAGCAGCGTGTGATGCTGAAGTGATGAAAACGTAAACCGCCGATGAGTTCACTCAAGCTCAAGCTCAAGCTCAAGTATGCATTCCATTCGAGATGGTAGCAAGAATCACATGATGTATGCCATCATTGCGGATAGATGCATTATCTTGATCGGTTCATCAAGCTGAAATTATCCGACCTATCCAATATTCGCGAACTGCGGAACCCCATGGCGCAGTTCGACGCCATGCCGTGCAATGCTTTGCTTATATTTGCCGCTAGTTAGGTTCGGTTCGGAATGTAGCTCCACCTACCCATTAATTCCAGGCGAACGCACCAATGCGGTGGTGAATGTATTCAGCACTGGGACACTGGTCATAAGCCTGCTAGAACAGCTCAAGGGCGACGCAGACATATTCAGCTCTTACTATTGGGTCTCCAGGGGCCGAGCGATCAACAACAGATCAGAAAGGCCAGTCGGATTGGTTTAAAGTGCCTGCCAACCTTCGGCTCAACTTCATGTGGTATGCATGAGATTAAAGGGTGACATTTAGCGGTCAGTTATCACGTTACCAAGCCTTTTTTATTCCTGCACCAGCTTTTTAACTTCACAAGCAAGGTTATTCTGGCAGCCCTGTTTGTTGATATCGAGATTTGATGGCATCACATTCATGGTGGCTGAGCACCGCGAATCCATCACAGAGAACCTGGGGGACTTTCGTATATTTTTACCTGCAGCTCCGTCCATAATGTGCAGAGTCCTAACATTTGATTCACGCAGAGACCATCGCAATTTCAAAACTCTGGATTCCAACACGATGATGCCTTACACACATGTTCGCTCTATGCGATGCATTCCTCGCCTTTGTCGGTCCCATGAAGACTCGCGAAGGCTTAGTGACCCATGCTCGACAATTTTTATACTGGCTGGTTTGCTCATGTTTGGGCGTGCTTTCTTCTTAGGCCTGTTTCTGTAATGGGAGTTCGGTAAATTACTGCACACAACTATACGAAATTGATGGGTAACTAGTACCTCAGGTAACGTCGGGCCAGGTGCCAACCGTTGTGACGTAATTTATGTCGGTAAGCAACCCACCGGATCAATTAGACACATCGGAGGCAATTAACTATTGCTGTTGTTGCTCTCGGTGTCAGCCTAGTCGGACCTAGTTGTACGTTTGTGCATCCCCGGTTGTTTGCACTCAGTCAGGTGTTTTGTGAACTTGACAAAGGCTCCTCCTGGTGTTCCGGCGTTTTGAAGCCACTCTCGTGATGTCACAATCGGTGCAAGATCACCAGAATTGACATCCAGTCGACTTATAGGCAGGTACTGAGAAACAGAACGACAAAGCAGTCAATGGCATTAGAAGACCCGTGCTTTTTTCAGCTGAGCAAATCTTTGATCTTGGTTCTCAAACACAATGTCACGCCGAGTGAGGCTGCTGAGAATCGCTGGCATTGCTGTCGAGTACGATCTCAGATAAACATGCCGAACATTTGTCCACGATGATGTGGACAAAATGGCTACCAGTTTTCGGCATAACGATCTGTTAGGCTGGAACTCGCCGACCTTCATTATACCAGACTGCACCAGTGAAACGAAGACATCAAGTAATGACTGAGACGTGACATGAGAAAAATTGTTCGTCGATCTTTGCTGTTGCGCATCTATAGTACAACCATTCGTATTGAAAGCGACAACTTAGCGTCGGTTACGGTCACATGCCAATAATGCGCCCAAAGCAAACGCAAGGATTTACGCATCTTTAAAACTGTTACGGCTCTTTAAAAGATCAATTGATCCACTCATACGGCACGCAGTCCCGGCCAGCACTGCCGCACCGTCCGCCCCGGCGATAGTCGAGACCACAACACCAGGGGCTGTCAGGGCGACATTGCTGTGAGCGACGTGACGGACGGTGTGACAGACAGCACGAAAGTCGTGACGAACGGCGTGACGTTCGCGATCGTCGGCGGACGGCCATGACGGTCTGCGTGACATACGGCATATTTATCATAACAGACGGCATGGCATCCGGCGTGACAGCCGCGACAGTCGCCCTAAGAGTCTACATGACAGTCGTGGCAGCCGGCGCGACAGAAGACGTGGTGGACAGCGTGACAGTCGGCGTGACTTACGGCATGACGTATGCGCGTCGGGTCCGCGCCAGTCCGTGTCCGGAAGGCGCGCCAGGTCTGGTCTGGTCACGACTATCGATGCTGATGACGTGAGCCCCCTGACACTGTCGCGCTGATGAGTTGTTCGTTCACCGAAGAATGCTTCACTCGTGTCGCGCGACACGAGAGTGACACTCGCGAGCCATACGTCGGGCTTGCTATGCCCGCGGGCTTGGAAGCCTGTGTTAGGGCTGGTGACGGGTCCCTCGACTCTGTAGACGCGGTGAGTATACACGAAACAGACCTGCTCTTTTATTATGCATTTTGGCAAGCTGGGCTTGTGGATACCGTGTGGCCCATAATTTGCAGGCGGACCATTCGAAATGTCAGGCTCGTTTACGTTCGCCGTATGTTAACTGAATGCCAGCTGCCTCACAGCACGCTGATTGACTGTCCCGAAGTCTGAAACCAGGTGGAGACTTTCCCGTGCAACCCTCCGTCTCCTCACAATCAAGGCCAAAAAATAAAAACGCTCTCACTGCGCACTGTATCACGGTAAACGCATGCGATCGATTTGCTTTTCAGTTACCATCCAACAGTTCTACAGCTTGGCAGTGACAGCATTTGGTGGGTGTGGCATTTACCACGCCACTTTCCATGCAAATTAACGTAATTTAAACACTTCAGCTTGCTCGTTCCGGCACCTGTCACACTAAATGTTCTCGGCATTCTCAAGCCGTGGCCACAGCCAGCCCTGAGTAGTAACACTTCAGCTTGCTTGTTCCGGGGGCTTTCACACCAACTGTTCTCAGCATTCTCAGACCGTGGCCACAGCCAAACTTGAGTAGGTGTGTGCCCTGACTGGCTGCTAAATGCACGGCCGCAGCCTGTTTTATCTCCAGATGAATCCAAACAACTGCCCGGTGACGTCTCAATAACGTCATCGTCGTCACGAAACGTCGAGAACATTTGCTTTGGCCCCTGAGCCGTACAGTACGCCGCATGAGAGTCCCTTTGGCCGATTTTTGCGGTCACTTTGTATCCGTGGCCTGGATCGATGCACGCCGCGGGACTTGTTGGATCTAACTCCAGAGAGTTGGCGCTTTCACCGGCATCAAGAGGAAATGGAACGCAGGCGTTCGCGGTGCCGTTAGTTTGTTGTTACTCGAGGCCACGAGCGTCTCTTTCCGCTGTTAATAATCGCCCCAATGTGTTTATTTTCTCTCCTAGACTGCACCCGGCATCATAAAACTGCGTTCACTGCGATGGTTCAGTGTGTGTAAAGCCGCCTAAAGCTAACTAAGCAAGCCGCTTAGCTCAGTAAGGGCCCTCCACGTCAACAACGCAACGCATCGACCGCAGCCGCACCGCGCCGTGCCAGCATCCAGAGTTCGAATCCAAAATCAACAGCCTGTGGCGGCGGTCGACGACCACAGTATGCACCCATGACGCCGCGGTGTACACCAGTGACATCACTGACGCCCTGCTGACGCCGCTGCTGCACCGGTGTACTATAGTTGAGTTCTCGGCGTCCTTGTGGCGGCGTCAGTTGAGCCGATGAGGCGTCAGCGCTAACCGCACGTCTATTTCGGGCGAAGGAATCGCGGTCACGCACTGGCAGAGCGAGACCAGCGGCGTGCAGGAGACAGAGGGACAGGAGACAGAGGGGCGGGAGGAAGGTGGGCAGGAGACAGAGGGGCGGGAGGAAGCTGGGCAGGAGACAGAGGGGCAGGAGACAGAGGGGTATGGGAGAAGCAAACCAAAGAGCGGAGAGGCGACGGAAACAGCAGAGAAACGGCGAAAATAATGTGGGATCTGTCGTAATTGATAAAGGGTCTCTAGAAATAGATCTGTGCCTAGTAAGTAACGGAATGGTATGAATAAGGCCGCATGTATTCATTTGACACAGCATATTGGCGAGCAGGGCTGTCGCCTCCTGTTCTTAAAGTGCTCTTTAACACGATATAACAGCCTGCTTACGAAGGTTTTTAGTCAATAAACACGACATAATAAAGCGGCTGCCTGATATAATAACAACAATGTATCGTTTCCCAGGTGGCAGAACAGCTGATCAATCCATTCGGGGATGACGACGAAGACTTTGAGTTGAACTGGATCATTGACAGGCACGTGAAGGTAAGCCCACTGGCTGGCTCGAACGTTATTCTGATCTTATGATGCCACTGAGCTTCATATGGCCTATCTTCCTGGTGGCTGTGGCGTTGCTAGAGCGTGCATGAGTTTGTTGGAATTCTTAAAATTTATCCCTTTGATATTGGCAAACGTACCGAAGCGTTGTCGCGAGCCACTGACATTTTAAGGATGCATAATATTAGGGTCGGATTTCATGCTTCAGTTATTGGCAGATGATTTTCCGGATGATAATCCCACAAGCCGTTCTGTAATCCCGCACAGCGCCAGACGACGCTGCTCGTGGGATAGGTCCTCTAAACCAGAATGTCCCGGCCTTTGTGGTGGGGCTCAAGGTCGAACCCGTGGCCAAGGGCCGCCACCTATTTGTGATCACTCGCAGCGGGACTCTGTCACCTGACATGTGACAACAGGTGGACTAATTTGAGGACAGGTCCTGGGACTTGAGACAGCTCAGGCGGCTGACGCGCGGTCTTAAACCCCCAGAGATCGGTGCCGTAGTTGAACGCGCCTGAAATACACTGACTCTGACAGCGAGCGGCCAGTCTTTGAAGCGTGCTGTCCTGTGACCCAGCTGGCGGTCATCTTTGGCATCTGCCTGCCGTGCCAGTGCGCTCTCTCTTCACCGACCAGTTGGCTCTAAAAGGAGCCGGCCCCGGCCGGCTTTCCAGCGAAGTTTTAGCGTCATGGTATCGTGCTGGCGGGGCCGCGCCCGCCACGGCAGCACGTGCAGCCCCCACGCAGCCCAGTTCCTCGAGCGGCGCCTCTCATCTGGCAACGGCGGCGCGGCGGCGCGCCGCTCGCGCATCTGCAACAACAGGCGCGAGCCGCGGTCGCTGAGTCACGTACGGAACTCCCGCGCCAGACGGCGGCGATCGGTGACGTCACGGCGGCTGACGCGGCGCCCGCGGCCAGCCGCCGGCGGGCTTGTTCATGCGCGCGGTGTGCAGACCAAAATAGGCGACGGTGTCCGGCGCGTGGCCGGTGACCCCTGACCTTTCCGCGCCGGCTGACCTCGCCGGGCGTTAAATTAAAACCTGGCCCACCTCCTGTCTCCAGCTGCATTCCAGGCGGGTTTTGTCTGAGGGGAGGAAGCGGGCGGTCCGGCGAGCCAGGCCTCGGCAGAGCTGCGCCGGCTCGACCGCGACGCCCCCCCCCCCCCCACACCCACTCCTCCGCTCCCCGTGGGCGTGATGGAGGGGGGTGGGGGGGGGGGGGCGGCGGCGCGGACGCTGGCGGCGCGCTGAGAGCCCCGTGTGAACCATCCGCGGAACACGCCTGTGGTCACGATCAGCCGCGCCGTGTAAGCCGGCCGAACACGGCGCCACGTCGGCGGCCAACTGCGCGACGCCTGTGTGTCGGGGCCGTGTGAACTGTCCAATAGGGTGCCGTCAAGGTCGGGAGGCTCGACACGCTCCGGAGGGGCAGCACTGGCGGCACTGGCGGCAGGACTCTGGAGGCTTCGGCCAGAAGCAGCAGCGGATAATGTCGACGCCTCAGACGCCATCAGGACCATAGGTGGAGGCCTTCATTCAGGCAAAGCATTTTTGGAGTCAAGCACATCGAAAACTGTGATGCAATCCTCTAATTCGTTTGATGCTATTCCGTTTGCCAAGAGTTTTCCCTCAGGGCTATACAATTCTGAAGCTTTCATTTCAACATCGGACATACGGACGGAAAATGCCGTCCATCCGTTTGCGGCCGAAGACCAGGCCGAAAAGTGGCAATATTTCACCTGCTCAGGACTTGTTCGGGTCGAAAAGCTGCTTTTACGAACTTTATTTTCATACGTGCTCTACAACGGTGGGAACGCTCTGGTACCCCCCCCAAAAAAAAAAAAATATATATATATATTCAGCATATATGTATATATATATATATATATATATACCTATATCCATATATCTATATATATATATATATACCTATATCTATATATCTATATATATATATATATATATATATATATATATATTCCGTCATGCAGATTACATTCATTTTAAAGGATTTCTAACGTTATTTTGCTGATGAGATCGCGTGCCATATTTTGTTTCCCGATATTTTTCATTTGTTTTAAGGTCACCGTACGCACCTCGATAGAGCAGCTGTATCGGCTAGTGCGCTCAGGCGCTCAGAACGCGAGGAAACACACCTGGAAGAAGTCAGATCCCCTCGCTGGTCCAGATCAAGTCCTTCCCAGACGTTTCCCAAATCCTTCCCGAGGCTTTTCATTGGTCTTGTCTACCCCGCCAGCCCTCAGTAAGGGCTCCCCGGAAAGTTCAGCCGTTAACTCTTCTTCGGCCGTTGACGAGCCTCGACCGCCAGGTGCTCCACGGAATGTTCAGCCGTTAACTCGTCTTCGGTCGTTGACGAGCCTCGTCCGCCAGGTGTCGTACCTGATCGTCGACTCCCTGGACGTGCGCCGGCCGCCGCTCGTCAAGCCGTTAAGTCGTCCTCGGCCGTTGACGAGTCTCGGCCGCCAGGTGCCCCCCGGAATGTTCAGCCGTTAACTCGTCTTCGGCCGTTGACGAGCCTCAGCCGCCAGGTGGCGTACCTGATCGTCGACTCCCTGAACGTGCGCCGGCTGCCGCCCGTCAAGTCGTTAACTCGTGTTCGGCCGTTGACGAGCCTCGGCCGCCAGGTGTCGTACCTGATCGTCGACTCCCTGAACATGCGCCGGCCGCCGCTCGTCAAGCCGTCAACTCGTCTTCGGCCGTTGACGAGCCTCGGCCGCCAGGTGTCGTACCTGATCGTCGACTCCCTGAACGTGCGCCGGCCGCCGCTCGTCAAGGACATGTACTTCGACGACCCGGGTCTGACGCTGCCGTACACAGAGGCGTCCGTCCAGTACAAGATCCCGACGTACCGCGGATCAGTCGACAGCATGAAGTGAGTGCTCGTGCAGAGGCGGTCGTCACGGTCTGCTGCCGGCAGAGACTCACCAGAGGTATGACGTCACTTATGACGTCATGGTCCGTTGCGCGGCAGAGACGAAATGGGGATTGGACGTCTTTTATGACGTGGCAAACCGGATCACAAACCGCATCACAGGACTGACCTACAGCTTAGTGGTGTTTGCTGTGTCCTGCGCTTTTTACAGTCGTCTCGGTATGGTGCACTTTTGCACAGCCAATTTTATTTTGCTGTACACTGCACGCAGAAGCCAACCAGGATCTGTCATGTAGCCCCAGCATTGTGATCTTTTCCTACAAGCCCTGACAAGAAATGTGTTAACTTAAACCTTTTAAGGGTTTGTGTAACACCAATACGAAACTACAACACGGCGGCAAAACACAGCTAATACGACATTTAAGCCCTTGTTAAAATGCAGTGCTATGAAAACATGTGCACCGGGAAGTTAAGTGTGCAAAATGTTTGTAAGCCGCAAAAGTGTTTGAGCATTATCGGTCATTTTCAAATCGTGTGCATTTGATGGACTTAGTGCAAACTTGGTTGACGTAGGTTCTCAAGATCTGATGTTGACGTATCTATCAACGTTGCTGAGGCTGTCAACTTTTGTGGAATCCTGGCAACCTTTGCCCTCTTGTCGTCAGGGCGTAAATACGGGTTCTTCCCAATCGTTTAATGCTGAACTATATCCTAATCCAGGAGTCCAAAGAGGCTATGTAAAGGGCCAGAATGGGGGGCATGTCGGTGCTAGGTGCGTGTTCCTGCCGCCGTGGGAAAGACCGTGCATTCAGAGACCGCGGTATTGTAAGTACCTACCCCCCATTGCTATGCACCGCGCCTACAACCTAGAATCACATGTTTTTTTACAACAAGCCCTCTTGTTTCAATGTCATAACTCACGAAGCGCGTAAATTCAGTTGAACGTATGGTTTCTGCCTTATCTGTTTATCGTAGATGAATATGAAGATGTTCTTATTCGGACACACTCTACCGGCTCAGCCTGTGGGCCCAAAAGCCTGTTGGAAGAAAGCACGTTATAACAGACACGAAAATAAGCCATAAAACACAAACTTGAAAATTACCCCGTGCATGACCACAAAAATCCACCGGGCACTCAACGGATGATTAACAGATGGTATGTCGCACAGCTCCCCTCGCCCTAGCTGAGTATTGTCATACGCATAAACACGTATTGTTCTCCAGAAATTCAGAGACGTTTTCACGTGCTAGGCGTGTCTGCCTCTTGTACCAGCGCTCAGACTCTGAGCGTTGGTACAAGAGGCCCGCTGAACGAACATGCCCTCTGAGGACATGCCCGGAATTCGAAGCCCATGCTTGTGTCGAGAATGCGGTGCGCTCCGCTGTTCTTGTTTCGTGCACGCCACTATTCGACCCATTTCCGTTTTTACAGCTGTGGATCTAGCCGCCCGAAGGCGCGTTTTTACCAGCACATTGGGGCCACCGCTGTGGTCTTTGGACGTGGCTCAAGCCTCCTTCACATGCAGCGTTCTTACAAAACGCACCGCGGGGCCGGGAGAGACTGCAACCCTGTCTTCCCACGTCCTTCCGACATGAAAACCTGCTTTTGAAACTTCCGACCTGCTTTTAGAACATCGCAATGAAACCAATTTTTAGCAGAAAGTGACAAGCTGACTCTTATACGGTAGACCCTTGATTATACGGTAGACACGCGTTTCGAGCTCGTGATTTCGATGTTATCTAGAGAATGTTGGGCTGACAAAGCTTAGACAAACTAATTTAAAACATTCATAGCTCTCTGAGACCGGCCAAACCAATCTCCACTACGTCACTTCTTCGCCGCGCTGACTTGGCCCCACCCTGGGCTGTCTTTGTGTCTCTGCTCTGCTTTGCTCCGGGCTGCTTCTAAGCGAGTGGCAGTCCGTTTGTCTGATAAAGGGCCTTTGTTCCTGCTCCGTAGCCGCGGCTCACAAAGATAACACGGGGTGATGGTGGAACTGTAAGCTCGGTTAATGCCCACCTAACCGACGCTGTGGCTCTTTAGGGGCGCCTCCATGGACTGATCTCATTGTAGCTTGTGAATCCATCGCTGTTACAGAAAACGGCTGCTCTTTATTCGTTCAAGGGCTGTTGCAAGGTTTTGGAGGTTCTATCTCCACACACGTTACATCAAAGCCGACAGCCAGCTCCGGGCTGCAATTCGATTGGCTCCTTAATGGAGCTGCAGCTCTTTAGCAGACCTTATAGCGAACTGCGGTGAGGACGGGTGGAGAATGCCGTTTGGCAGGTTTGGCAGCAGCCACATTAAACGTCATCAAGCTAGTCATGACTTCGCTATTTCCTCATTAAAAGAGCTCTGGCGCCTTTGCCACATCCAATTTCTGATAACTCTACACTCGTGGTACCGACGGCTGTAGAATCACTGCGATGCACCATGACATCCGGGCACAGCGACCTTTGAACTTTACCCGCCGCCAACCAAAGCGAACATCTTTGATAAGCTGGACCCAATCTCCGAGATGCCCGTCAACTGCAAGGCGATAAAAGCGAAATGAATGGGCCAGAGGTGCGGTTCTATGGTGCTTTTAAATAGCAGCTGACGAGGCTCGCCTCCGAGGCCAGCGAACATCGCGTCCACATGCTGTAGTCCGGTGGGTGCAAGCACCAGCTTGTTGGCTGTTACACAAGGGTGCTTTGTGTGCACACCAAACCACGGGGCCGTCTTGCAAAAGAGCGATTAGTGTCATCGCATCACGACGTGTCTGTGTCGGTCTGTGTCATGGCGTGTCTGTGTCGGTCTTGAAGCGTTTAACAGAAGGGGCCGACATGCTCATCAGAGTCGAGGTGAAATCAATAACTAATTGGCATGTAAGCTTCGCTGGTCAACCGCACTGAATTCGACAGGTTAGGTGTATCGACATCAAACATACGGAAAGCTTTCGCTGCCGAACAATGTACCGCATCCAGTCATCCGAGCTATTGGAGGCATGTGTGGCGAGCTGTTCATGCCGAGCCGCGCGGCTGCCAGATATCGGGAGCGCGCGGGGTGCCCTCCACCCAGTCGTGTCAGGACCCGAACAGCGGCGCGGCCTCCGCCGAGAGTGGGGGGGGGGGGGGGGGGGCTCGTTAGTCCGTCACGCGCCGATGCCTGGTCCGCCGACGGTCCAGGGCGGGCGGCAGCGGCTCGTCGGAGGTGACGGACGAGGCCTGCGACCGCAGCGCCGCCCAGCGGCCGAGGTGCGAACTGCTGGACCGGAGCCGCGCGCGGAGGGCGAGGAAGACCGCTGCCGAGGATTACGCGGGTCACGCCGAGGTCAAGCCGCTTTGCTGTTTTCGTTGGCGGTCGGCAAACGGTCCCCAAAGGTCGGCGTGGTCTGGCAGCACCGCCCGGGGGAGACGGCGGCTCTCTGTGGAGTCCGGCGGCGCTTCGCCACATGACAGTCAGTGGCCCGATGTGGCCCTGCCAGCAAACAGCGGGCCTCGGATGGACGCATACCATAGGGATCAGTGAAAGACTTCAGTCCGTCGTCCAGCAGCTCGTGCGTACTTGTGCAAACACATCCTGGGAGGAAACAAGAGCACGAGTGTCTTTAATTGTATCGGCGCGTAATTTCCCGACTCATTTATGAAGGTTAAAATCAACGTGATATAGCGTGCCGCACAATGGTATGTGATATTTAACGATATAATTGGACGCTCAAAGATTTTGTCCAGATCGGGTTACAGGTGGTAGAAAAAAATATGAATGGAGACTGAAAAGCGTCATGCTGTCATGTCATACACTAAAATACTCCGAACCTCTCTCTCGAAACCTTCGAGAAATTTCGATTTGGCAGCACGGCCGTGACCATACGCTTCTGATGAAAGTCTTCTAACGACAGGTGTTTTGGGCTGGGTGTCTGCAGGAGCCCCACAGCCGTGTGGGGTGCCGCGTCCGCCTCAGACAACCGCTTCACGGGGCGGCTAGCAAGCGGGACACCACCCGGGACACCACCGGGACACCACCGGGACACCACCGGGACACCACCCGGGACACCACCGGGACACCACCCGGGACACCACCGGGACACCACCCGGGACACCACCGGGACACCACCCGGGACACCACCGGGACACCACCCCATCAGCCGCGAGACCGCGCCGAAGCGGAGCTCACCACCAATGCGCCGTTTCCGCTCGTGCTGAAGCCCCATCCGCTCTGCAGGGTGCCCGAGAGGCAGCACACGATGGTGCTGCCCGAGATCAAGGAGGAGCAGGACGAGAGCGGCGACGAGGACGGTGCATTCTTCGGCTCCACGTCGCTCGGCAGCATCGCCGCTGAGAACGGCATGATGGACGGTCAGTTTAGTGCTCTCCACCAGCGCCAGCTGCCGCCCCCCCCCCCCCCCCCCGCCCTCGCCCTGTCCCGCCGGTGGAGTTGCCCTCTTCCGGCGTCAGCTGCCCCCCCCCCCCGCCGACGCCAGCTGACCCCTGCTGACGCCAGCTGACTGCCGCCGGCGCGAGCTGCCCCCTCGCCGGCGCCAGCTGTCCCCCCCCGCTGGCACCAGCTGACCCCGCCGGCGTCAGCTGCCCGCCCCCCCCCCCCCCCGCTGACACCAGCTGACCCTTGCCGGCGCCAGCTGTCCCCCCCCCCCGCCAGCGCCAGCTGACTGCCGCCGGCGCCAGCTGGCTTCACCGGCAAGCACATGAGATTACTCTGATTTGGGTGTCTGTGGATTTCTGGTTCACGCGCCTAGAGGCCGACCCGCCCTCTCACAGCGGCGGACGGGTCCATCGATTCGAGGCTGCTGTCGTTCATCCATCTCAGTCCATCGTCATCGGGTACTCGTTTGACGTGACGTGACGTGACGTGACGTTTAACGAGTGGCGCAGAAGGTTTCGCTCTGTTACCTCGGCTTCTGTTCTGCTCAGAATTTTCTGCAGTACCCGGCTTTTCGGCACTCACATGCCGTCCGGTTCGAATTGAAGCCCGTATATTTATTTTAATTTTGTTGACCAGTGATGTCGTAGTTCGCCTGCTGTTGTTTGGTCAGCGGACTGATGGGCCGTTTTGTTTTGCTAAACGCCATAAATCTCTGAAGTCTTCGCCAAAGCTCGTCTTGTCATCAATAATCTTAGGAGTAAGGTAGACTGGGCTTACTTACTATAACAATAGCGATGCATTTGTAATTATGATTCACCTAATGATCTGAACACATTCAGCGAGCTCAAGTTTTATCAGATTGCTTGATATGTATCTCGCAAGTACTTTGCGTGCTTCTTCCCTCATCCACAAAAATATATAGCAAGCAGCAGCTTTCACGTCCGCGTACTGCTATTACTTCGTTTAATAAGTCATACCAACAAACCTACCGTAGTTCTTAATGATCCGCGAGTGCAAATGACCCCGTGGGACCTCCCTTTGGCTGCACCCATGCATGACAACGCTGCAGATGCGATGGTATCTTTCTCACAAAGAGACCTGCTGGAAGGGCTGCACATAGAGGGCCGATCGACCGTCAGCCAATCAGAACCGATGATGAAAGCACGCTGGCGAACTGGTACGAGTCCATGACCTCATCCCGTCACATCAAAGCCAACCGCTTACTTGGCGCGACTGAAAACAAATGATTGTTCCACAACATCATCACCTCAGTTACTGCTTCATTGTCATGCTCGGATGTTTCGATGATTCCTTTGTGTCTTACATAGCTTTGTGTCCGAATTAGATCTGGGTTTGTAGACATACGGCGCCCTCAGTAAGCAAAAACATGTGCTTATAACACGCTTGGGAAAAAGCGTTGTGTATTCATCAAATGCCAATGCTTCGCGACCGCCTAGAATCATACTTTACTGGCAAATTTCGACGTCAGTAAGTCAGTGACTTGGGTACTACACTCGACTAGTTCAACACCCGAAGTACTGCTTTTTATGCGTCAATTTGCAATTGGTGACGCTCTGAATTTGTGGAACATGTCGCCAATAAAGCATTGGTAATAGCCTAGTCGAAAACCTTGAAATTTTGGAGGACCGTGGAATTGTACTGCGCGTTTGGCCTTACACCAACAGATGAATGGCGTGGCCCAGATATGTTTCCCGCCTTTGGATGCATCGTTCACGTGTGCACATACTCCTTTAATCGCGTGCACTGAGCACATTTGACCTTCTGACCCTCGCAAGTTGCGGTCGATTCAGTTCTCACTTCTTGCGTCATTGTCCTTTTCCATTCAGAGCTGAATCGGGTGTTTTTTTTATAACGTCCGCCGCAAGCATTTCCAAAAAATAAGGATATGTTCGGCTCACGTCTAGACAACACGGTGGCTATTCTACCTGACAAAACCAGCACTGTCTTGGCTCCGAAGTGTTTCAGCCAGCGTCTGACTACCTCAGCAGGGCGTGATGATACACTGGCTTGTCAGCGCCGCTGCCCGCCTCTGTTCATAACCGTGCTCTTTTCAATAGGTGCCCGAACTTTGTTCGGTACTCCAGCGTACCAGAATGAGACGACCTCGCGCCAGATGCGAGCAATTCCGAATGGTTGCAGCAGGTGTCATTAACTAACAGCTAAAAATGAGCTACTGATTCGGCTATGGTCAGTTCGCACATTTATGTGGGGCTAGTACAACTAAATATTGTAACACTTTGGTTCGATTTGAAACAGGAACAAAGGAATGTATTAAAAACGGTGCTCTGTTTTTCTATAATGTCTCTGCATACCTATGCGCATACTTTTGCTGGGGCTGATAGGTCCGTGGACAAAAGAAGGTGCGGTGCGTATGGAAGGGCTGCCGTGCTAAGCCAGAATGTCTTAATCTCAGTTGGCGGCCCGTGGGTGAGAGCCACAGGCGCGTCGGGAGGACGTCTGCAGACCCCCCCCCACCCCCTGCTCTGCCTTGTCCCACGCTGTGGTCGGCCATTTTCCACGACATTCGCGCCAAATGACGTGAGCTGACCTGCCCTGACATCCGTCACCAGGCCATGCCGCGCCAGATCGCACCACGAACAGGTCGTCGGGCCGCTGCTGACCCGCGTGCCCCCTGCCCCCAGGTCGTGACCCGCGCGTGGGCGCTGTGAGCGTGCCGGACGAAGCGCTGCTCTCCGGACGCAGTCGCACCTCCTCCAGCAGCACGGCGTCAAAGATGCGGCCGCAGCGCCACTCGGAATCAGCAGGTAGCTGTGGGTAAGACGCCGCCTGCCCGCCCGCCATAGCCGCTCAGCCGCTCTACCACCCAGACCCGCTCCGCTCAGCCGCTCTACCACCCCGACCCGCGCCGATCAGCCGCTCCACCACCCCGACCCGCGTCGGTCAACCGCTCCAGCACCCCGCCACACGCCGCTCAGCCGCTCTACCACCCCGACCCGCGCCGGTCAGCCGCTCTACCACCCCGCCACACGCCGGTGAGCCGCTCTACCACCCCGACCCGCGCCGGTCAGCCGCTCTACCACCCCGCCACACGCCGGTGAGCCGCTCTACCACCCCGCCGCGCGCCGCCCCGCTCTGTGCTGCTGCTGACCGCGCTGAAGTGTCCTGGAGTGGAGTCTACACCTGGTGGTGGTGGTGGAGTCCACGACCTGGCCTGGTGTGATCTTGGTGGCCCGTGGGCTAACTCACGCGCGGCAGCAACCGATGCGTGTGAGATTTGCGCGCGCTTTTTCCAGGTGGTGGAAGGATACTAGTGTAGGTGACAAGTACGAGCGGCTGTGTGTGAAATGGGCTGAAGATGTAGGGGCATTATGAGGCATGCACTTCGTTACAAACTGCTTTACATGAGGCGAGCATAGAGTTCGCACGATGGTTATCGGTCGTTATTTCTGCCTGATCATCGATGCCAAAGTTGAACATCTCATCTATTAGCAGCCATAGTGCCTGCTGCATCCAAATAATTTCATGTTCTGTCGCCAAATACGCCCATTCCAGTTCAGTACGCTGTGGGAGCAACCAGCGGGTAGCAGTTGGCGGGTGGTGGTGGTATATTTTCGCCCCATCCGGTCAGTCCCGTGACATCACAGATCTGCAAGCCGTCGCGTTCTCCTTCACGAGTCGCCTGATGCCATGTTTCGAATGTCAACAACCACATCCGCCACCACAGATCAAACCGAAGGCTGGATCACACGGGCCCGGAGGCTGCTGCGCAAGCTGACCGCCCTGCCACCTGTCGACCAAAACTAGAACCGCAGCTTTCGGCCACCAGCTCGACGAGCGACGAGGCAGTGCTGCGGCGCCACTGCCTGGCGCCGAGCGGCGGCGCGGTGGAGCGCCACACCTCCATGTCGGCGCCGAACCGCGCCGAGCGCCGGCTGCCCAAGCGCTCCGTCTCCTGGCAGTCGCCGCACCTCATCCCGGCGCGCTGGCGGCGCCGCAAGCGCGCCGAGGTCATCTGGCACCCGTACGTACCGCCGGCCGCCAGCGAGCAGAGTCTGGCCGAGGCCGTCAGCGCCGGCGGCGGCCGGCCGGAGGTCACCTGTCTTCTCAACGGCGAGGGCGAGCGGGTGGCGTGGCGAGACGTGGCGGCGGCGGCACCGGCGCCGACCGCTGAGCGCCACCGTCCGCTCCGTGCCGAGCGTGTTCGTGCAGGCGCCGAGTGTGCGGGTGCGCGCGCCGGCCGGCGCCGCGCGCAGCCGGCAGTCGTGGGCCGGCGGACCCGTGCTCAGCCGCTCGTGGGACGAGCAGCGCGGTCACTGGCACGAGCCGCCGGCACCAGAGCCGCCGGCGCCAGAGCCGGATCCCGAAAGTGAGGTGTTCGCGTCCGCCAGCCAGCTGCCGGAGGTGGAGGAGGAGGAGCCGGCGGAGGAGGGGGACCAGGCGCTGTTCCCGCTGTCACCGGTGCCGCTGGCCGGCAGCCTGCCCGACATCCAGCGTGCCAACACCTCCAGTCTCGAGCGCAAGCACAGCCTACCCGCGCCGGCCAACAAGCGGGTGCAGATCGTAGCGCCCTCGGAGCTTGACGAGCTGCCGGGCCGGACGCCGCCGCCGCCACCGGCACCCTCGCCCAGTCAGCGGCGCATCGACGCTCAGCAGCAGGCGCACTGCAAGCGGCCGTAGTGGCGCGGCGGCGGACGCGGCCAGGCGGGGTGAACTGTGCTGACCTGCCAGCGAGGCGCGCATGACGGGCCCTCGTCCTGGAGGCGTTGTGAAGCCTCTCATAACAGGAGCTTAGGTGACGGTCCTCTATGTGAGAGGCGCAGTGTGCAACAGGAACTGAAGCAGCTGAACTGGAGCAGCTGAGCCAGCTGAAGCTGGGAACGCCTGAGTCCAGCGGCGCGTCGGCAGCCTCGGGGCTGTGGTACACCGACCCGCCCGCGGCCCGCGGCCCGCCCACGGCCCCCTCGGGGCTGTGGTACCGTTTGATGGCCGTTTGATGTGTGGTTTGGGGTCTTTCACGTCCGTTTGGGTGTCAGCTTTGGCTTTGCGCTGCCGATGCCGCCGCGGTTTGGTTTGATCCCAGTGCGTGACGTCACAGACACGACCGTCTGAGTCTGGCGCAGCCAATGCGCCGTGACTTTGTGGGCGCGAGCGAGAGTTTTTCACCACATTATCGCCACCACAGAGCCACCCAGTGACTCAGTCCAGTGTTCCGAACACCGCTGGGGCCGGCGCCGTCGGTTGCGGTCCACGCCAGCGTGGGGCGCACTGGGGAATAAGTTGTGGTCCCACTGAGGTCCTCCCAGAGTGGACCCCGAAAGGCGCCACAAGATCCCGAGCCAGACTCATGGTGCGCCTCGCCCGTCTTTCCAGTTACCTCAAGTGTTCTCCATCGCCGGACGGAGTGTCGAGCCAGGGTTCAGAGCCGAGTCCAGTCAAATATCGCGTGTTCATAAGATGTGGTCCTGATGTTGTGAGGTGATAAACCAAAGTAATTTCGTGATTTCATGCTGATTATTGTGTTTGCAGACTTAATGCCACGTGGAAACGCTCGCACAGCTTGCACGATTGCGTAAGAATGTTGTAACGCGGAAACAATCACATCTAACACGACGCGCGTGACATCTACTTAAAGCCACTCTTCTCGCTGACACTATGGACACCTCTGCGAATCCATTGACCAATTCGCGCACTGATAACATTCGAACATAATCTTTCGCGCTCAACATCGCGGCATAAGCTTTGCTGAGAGAGCTTAGGTGGTCAACATTGCAGTTTTACGACGTACTCAGCTGCCGAGGCCATATGGCGTCGCTTAACTCTCACCCTGGTAGAAAGGGCGGGCACCGCGGGGAATCAACCCCGTACTTCTGTTTTCCTAGAAGACTGCGATTCAGCCTTTTGACCCAAGAAAGCTTAGGCGAATAGGCTAAAGTGCAAATAAGGGTTTTTGGAACGCTTCATGGAACACAGGTGTGTCGCTCAGCTGCTGCTGTATCCAGCGGGTATACTTGCTGAGGTCGGTGTAGATGCTGGGCAAGTCCGCGTCGCCGCAGCCGCGGCCACCCGACACCACGGCCACCAGCCGCTGCCGGCCGGCGGGGCCGACGGCCAGCGGACCGCCGGAGTCGGCGCGACACGCGTCCCGGCCACCGCCGGTCAGGTCGGCTGCACACAGCACAAGGCCACCGAAGCCGCCCGGGTACAGCTGGCGCACGAGCGAGTTGGGCGCGGCGCCGTCCAGGTGCAGGCGCTCACATTCGGCCGGATCCGTCACTGTCACGTCCGCCTCCAACAGCACGCGGGACGGGCGGCCGGCAAACCTCGTCACGCCCCAGCCGGCGACGGTGGCGCGCTGGCCGGGCCGCACCCAGCCCAGCTGTGCCGGCTGCTGTCTCACGGCCGCCGACAGCGTCAGCATGGCCAGGTCGTTCTTATGACCGACACGCTCCGGGTGCACGACGACGCGCAGCACGTCCCGATCGGCGTGCTGGCCGTCGGCTGTGGTGTCGAGCTGGGTCTCACCGAGCCGCACCACCAGCTGACTGGGCGCCACGCTGACTAGACAGTGGGCCGCCGTCAGCACGTGGCGCGAGCTGAGCAGTGAGCCGCCGCACAGCCAGCGGACCGAGCCGTCCGGCTGGCGGGCCCCCAGTAGCGCGATGAACGTCCACTTGGTCTGCCGCTCGCTAGGGAGCACCTCGTCACCGTTGGAAATAGCATCTATGTCCACGCCATCTACATTTTGAGATTGCAGCCCAGGTCGTTCCAACGCATCGAGCAGAGCCGGACTCAAGGCGACCGTCAGCAGAAGAGCCCGCAGTAGCGACATGACACCGGCAGAAAGAGTGGTGCCTGCTGTCCGCCATCCGCGCCTTATATACGGGCGGAGTACGCCGCCAACGTCGTCACGAGCGCCGCTTCAGCCGCTGCGGCGGCCGCCGGCGACACCCAGTCGGGAAGTACGGCTCCGCGGTCAGCCGGCGCCGCCGACACGCCGTATATACCTGGAAGGCGCTAGGTGCCGTCATACTTGACAAGCCGGGGCCTGGGGTCCCCCACCCGATGCGGAGACAAAAGCCGACGGGGAAGTTCGGCTCGGGAGATGCAATCTCGGATGCATCCAGCCACGACACGGCACCACAATAAACAGTCAGTTGCATTTCTGGCGCTCTGTTGGCATTGCGACAATGCTATCGTCTTTCGTAAAGGCAAACTTACGCGAGCCTCTCCCTGAAACGCTTCAAATTTCACAAACAAGCACAGGAAAGAGGAGCGTTGCTGTGATACACCGTTTTGATAATCAGAAGGTTGTTCGCTGTCCATGAAAATGCAGCCAGCCACTGGTAACAATACTGGCTCCGAGTGGGAACACAAACGATGCGTGGTTTTGTAGCGATAACTGTCAACGGAAACTTCTCTTTGAGGCATTTTTGTGCTCACTCGGTGTGAGCAACTTTTAGCTTGGACTTTGTGAAGGCGCCAACAAGGACGGGCTAACAGGTTCTAAGGAAGGGTACGCTTACATTTCACAGGCTAAAATACCGCTTGCATGATTCTTACAAATCATGGAGTGCAATATGTGCACGAACGAAAGCCTTCGACAGTGTAGGACTTACGTAGGGCTTAAAAGATATCATTGATTATCTTATCAACGTGCACCAACATAGTGACAGTGCACTGAGGACAAAGTTAATCCTATGAATGATCGTAAGGCTTGCATGCCCCCGAAATACCTGAAATCTTGTTCGAAAACAATCAAATTCAGTTCGTGACTAACGTAAAAATAGTGTTCCACATTTGTACGTGGTTTTGAACTGAAAGAGCCATCTTCAAGATCATTTGGTGTGGTTCACAATGCCGCCCATCTCAAGACCTGTCCTTCTAGTTTCTTAACTCAACGACCGCGAGGACTTACGTCGGACGTGGACGAGGACGTGCACACTGTTTTCGGGAGAATATTTTAAGGTCACCCAGGCATTCATGATATCATGATAACGTCATTGAAATCTTGTCATGCCATTAGCCGTGCGGCGACAGAGGCTAAAGAGATAAACTGTCGTGCCTTTCATTTCTGTCATTTGTGAACGTCATTTGCATATAAAGCGGCCGACAGTTGGCTCTTAGCCAATATTATGCATTACACAAAGAGGTATCAGACATTAAAGCATTGACGAGCATATTTACTAAACAGAGGAACCGCAATGCCTGAAGCAGTTTTCCCACTTGACGTACACCAGTAGTGATAACTGAGCCCATTTCTTAATATCTGATGCCTCTCCAAATGTCACACATCTTCTTTAAAAGCCACGACAAAATAATACCCGCAGTCCAATTTGAGAATTGGACGTAGTACCAGACGGTTTGACGTGGTCACACGTGTTGTATGATGAGCTGTTGTGCACAGCAAGATACACGCGGCTGAGGTGGGCTACTTGACAACAGCACCGTACGCATTCCGGCATGTGACTGTCACATGCCCCAAACCGACCAATGATTCACCAGCTGGGGCTCTGCACCCAGCTCTGAGAAACTGCAACGTTACGACCAGGCGCTGTCAGAGTCGGTAGCGGGCGGGGAATTCCGGGCAGTTTCTTGGACGCGTCATTTTCGAGTGCAGCGCTCTCCTTAGCTATTAGACGGGAAACAGCGCTGAGCACGAACTAGACTATTGCACGATTGTAAAATCAACTAACACAGTATTCAGTTGGACTAAAACGACTTTCCCTTGATATTTTCCCAGACTAAATAATCTACTAGGTCATCTTTTCACTAGTTGGTACAGTTAACTAGATCACACATCTCACTAAATGAAATGTTTCACCGGATAATTACACAGCACCGTTTGTTCGGTAGCTATGCTCTAGAGGCATCCGACCCTCAACGTTTGCTTCTTGCACGTCGTCCTGTTATTGCTCCATATCCCCCCCCCCCCCCCCACACACACACTCACGCCACTGGTTCTGTTACGCCCAACGGCAGCGTAACCGGCATTGCCTTGCGACGAAGCCATGTCTACCGCACAGTAATGACGCAGTTGCAGGTAGTTACCCAACCGCAGACATCGTGCATGACGATTACTGAAGACCTGTCAATGACGTCACACCAGTTCCGGAGATATCGGCATGCATATCTTCGACCATCACCGAAGACCATCGCATAAATTAAACGGTCATATCGAAACGCATGTGTTCACCTGAATGCTGCGGGGATATGGATCAAACCGGGAGTAGCGGCCGACACGGGCCGGGCGGGAGCGTGGATAACAGGCGAATCCTAACTGGATGCGATCGGGGAAATGGATCAACTCGACCGTTGGCGCAGCGGTCCCGAAGTTGGTATTATGACCGCTTATGTGATCAGACCATGCAGCACAATATAGTCATGTAATGTGACCACAAACCCACATCGAATGACGAGCTCATGGCTGGCAGTACGCTCACTTATGCTATATGCCACGGATCTGCCGTAGCTGCTCGCGGAAATACACAACACAGCCAAGGTCAGATCGGTGATTTGTCCTGCCTAGATGCATGCAGTATGAATAATTAATGGAATTCTTGAGCGGGTTATACCGCTAGTTAAGAAATCATAACTGCATTTACGTAGTGAACTAGACTACTCACAATCGACGCTGGAAACGCAACAACATGAGTCACTCACGTGTCTACACTCAAAGATTGGTGAATCGGGATGTAGCATGGAAACCTCTAAAACTAACCAATACGCGGGCTAAAATTTAGCTCATCACACGACTGGGAAATTTCCGATGTGATGGCAAATCTCTCCAAACTCCCAAACAAACCAAACAGGGCGCATTCTCTCTCATTCAGAGCAATTTCGGCGCAGTCGACAACATGCGCCAACAGCGACCTGTCACCTAAAGCGCTGTCTGATTTCTCATCTGAAGTAGAATTACCCCTATGCATATAACAGACCGCGACTTAACCCGAAAGAAAACGGCAGCGGAAGCTGTAGTTGAACACGGTTGCCAGAATTGATCCTTATGTGTAGTTTGTGTATCATTACGTGTAGTATGTGTAGTATCATTCCATCAATGAGTCCAATGAAGAGAAGGTCTTAAACGCAAGCACGCGTGAAATCAACGCGCCATCTTAAATTTCATATTATCTATCACAGACAGAGGCGCATTTTTGTTTGTCTCCTTATATCTCTTTTCTAAGAAGGTGGTTCAGAAGGTGGAACAAAGGATCAAGCTGGATAACAATTAACAAGTCGAGAATGCCGAATGTCTGTTCTAGGAATTATCCAAAAAATTGAACAAATTTGATAGGCGAAAATAGACCGTAGAAGTAGGCCGGTATAGTAGTAACGTGCCGAGGCAGCGCGAGAACAGAACACGACACACCGGGCGTCAGGTCAGGACAGATCGGTGTACCGACGTCAGGTCAGGACAGATCGGTATACCGACGTGAGGTCAAAGCAGATCGGTGTACTGACGCCAAGTGAGGATCGATCGGTGTGCCAACATAAGGTCGGGACAGATCGGTGTACTGCCATACGGTCAGGACAGAGCGGTGTACCGACGCCAGGTCAGCACAGATCATCGTGTAGACATCAGGACAAATTGGTGTACCGACGTTTGGTTAGGACAGACCGTTTTATCGACGTGAGGTCAGGACAGACTGGTGTTTGAAAAGGACGGACTGCTGAATTATATGGATGGGTTCACTTGCAGTTAAGAGACAAAACAGCAGTTTGTGCAATTCTTACAAATCAGGGAGGGGAAAATGGACACGACCAAAGCCTTTCAAAGGGGGCAATTTATATCTTGTCCACAAGACGTCATTGGTCATTTACTTCCAACATGGTCACGCTGCGCTGAAGATAGCTTTATATTTACGGATCATTCTGTGCTCGCATGTGCCATGATACCTGAGAGGCTTGTTCGAAAATGAAAATAAATCGGCTTACAACTAACTTAAAGCTATGAAGAAACCAGTTACACGCCAACAGATTCCACAACTGAACGTTATACCAGCGGGTCCATTGGAGCCATACATCTTGTGTGATAAGCTGTTATGCATAGTAAGACATAACAGGTGTGGTGGGGCGGCCGGCAACATAACCCGACGCCTGCCCGCGTACGACTGTAAGTCCCGAACCGTCCCATGATTCACCAAGTGGGGTTCTAACCGCAGCTCTGACGAAACCCGACGTTACGGCCGGGCGCTGTCAGAAGGAGGTAACGAGCGGGGCGTTTCATGCCTTCCACGCCTCGCTCGTCTTTCCAGTTACCTTACGTGTCTTCCCTCGCCGAGCAGAGTTTCGAGTCAGAGTCCAGAGCCGAGTAGTCAAACGTCGCGTGTTCATAAGATGTGGTCCTGGCGTGGTGAGATGGCACACCAAGAGATTCCGTGACTAAACAAACACCTCTGCACGTGCATGGAGATGTTGTCGGGAGAGTGACGTTCGAAGCAGCTCTGGTTTTCTTCATGCTGCACTTAAACCTCGTCCGACTCCAACGCGGACGAAGGAAGACACCAGCGTGCAGACCGTGTGTTGTATTAGCAAATTCGGTTTGATACATGTTCGGCGTATCAAGGGCTTTTGACAAAGCCTCCAGCTAGCGTGAGAAGCGCATTTTCAACAAAGCTAAACAGAGCATTGGTCGCGTGGCCCGCCGCTGATGGGACATACGTCACTGGTGCTCTTTCCTGCGAGCCTGGAGAGGAGATAGGAAGGAGCTGATTCGAAGCCGACGCAGGAAAATAATATTGCATGAAGGTATACCGATATGTTAAGTAACTCACCTGTCAGTAGTCGTTTTAGCTTCCACAGTTGACTAGTGGTCCATTATTTTGTTTAAAGACTTCATGCAACGTGCAAACACTCTCAAAGCCTGCATAAATAATGAGCAGATGTAACGCGGAAACAATTACACCTAACAAGACGCACGTTAGACCTACTTAAAACCAATCTTCCCGCTGCCATAATGAGCATCTCTGCGAATCTATCAATCAGTCACTGATAACATTCGAACACAATCTTTCGCGCTCAACATCGCAGCCTAAGCTTTACTGAGAGAGCTTAGGTGGTCAACATTGAGGCTTTACAACGTACTCAGCTGCTGAGGCTATATGGTGCCGCTCTGCCTCTCACCCTGGCGGGAAGGGCGAGCGCGCTGGGATTTATCTCCGCAGTTCTGTTTTTTCCACACAAAAACGCGATTCAGCCCTCTGATCTAAGAAAGCTTAGGTCAATAGGCTAAGTGCAAATAAGGGTTTTTGGAACGTTTCATGGAACACAGGGTGTGTCGTCAGCTGCTGCTGTATCCAGCGGGTATACTTGCTGAGGTCGGTGTAGATGCTGGGCAAGTCCGCGTCGCCGCAGCCGCGGGCCACCCGACACCACGGCCACCAGCCGCTGCCGGCCGGCGGGGCCGACGGCCAGCGGACCGCCGGAGTTCCGGCGCGACACGCGTCCCGGCCACCGCCGGTCAGTCGGCTGCAACACAGCACAAGGCCACCGAAGCCGCCCGGGTACAGCTGGCGCACGAGCGAGTTGGGCGCGGCGCCGTCCAGGTGCAGGCGCTCACATTCTGGCCGGATCCGTCACTGTCACGTCCGCCTCCAACAGCACGCGGGACGGGCGGCCGGCAAACCTCGTCACGCCCCCAGCCGGCGACGGTGGCGCGCTGGCCGGGCCGCACCCAGCCCAGCTGTGCCGGCTGCTGTCTCAACGGCCGCCGACAGCGTCAGCATGGCCAGGTCGTTCTTATGACCGACACGCTCCGGGTGCACGACGACGCGCAGCACGTCCCGATCGGCGTGCTGGCCGTCGGCTGTGGTGTCGAGCTGGGTCTCACCGAGCCGCACCACCAGCTGACTGGGCGCCACGCTGACCAGACAGTGGGGCCGCCGTCAGCACGTGGCGCGAGCTGAGCAGTGAGCCGCCGCACAGCCAGCGGACCGAGCCGTCCGGCTGGCGGGCCCCCAGTAGCGCGATGAACGTCCACTTGGTCTGCCGCTCGCTAGGGAGCACCTCGATGCCAGTTAGAAACTAGCAGCTTGTTGCAGGCCATCTTACATTTCTGAGAATTGTTGCCCAGCGCTTTCCAACGCATCGAGCAGAGCCGGACTCAAGGCGACCTGTCAGCAGAAGAGCCCGCAGTAGCGACATGACAACCGGCAGAAAGAGTGGTGCCTGCTGTCCGCCATCCGCGCCTTATATACGGGCGGAGTACGCCGCCAACGTCGTCACGAGCGCCGCTTCAGCCGCTGCGGCGGCCGCCGGCGACACCCAGTCGGGAAGTACGGCTCCGCGGTCAGCCGGCGCCGCCGACACGCCGTATATACCTGGAAGGCGCTAGGTGCCGTCATACTTGACAAGCCGGGGCCTGGGGTCCCCCACCCGATGCGGAGACAAAAGCCGACGGGGAAGTTCGGCTCGGGAGATGCAATCTCGGATGCATCCAGCCACGACACGGCACCACAATAAACAGTCAGTTGCATTTCTGGCGCTCTGTTGGCATTGCGACAATGCTATCGTCTTTCGTAAAGGCAAACTTACGCGAGCCTCTCCCTGAAACGCTTCAAATTTCACAAACAAGCACAGGAAAGAGGAGCGTTGCTGTGATACACCGTTTTGATAATCAGAAGGTTGTTCGCTGTCCATGAAAATGCAGCCAGCCACTGGTAACAATACTGGCTCCGAGTGGGAACACAAACGATGCGTGGTTTTGTAGCGATAACTGTCAACGGAAACTTCTCTTTGAGGCATTTTGTGCTCACTCGGTGTGAGCAACTTTTAGCTTGGACTTTGTAAGGCGCCAACAAGGACGGGCTAACAGGTTCTAAGGAAGGGTACGCTTACATTTCACAGGCTAAAATACCGCTTGCATGATTCTTACAAATCATGGAGTGCAATATGTGCACGAACGAAAGCCTTCGACAGTGTAGGACTTACGTAGGGCTTAAAAGATATCATTGATTATCTTATCAACGTGCACCAACATAGTGACAGTGCACTGAGGACAAAGTTAATCCTATGAATGATCGTAAGGCTTGCATGCCCCCGAAATACCTGAAATCTTGTTCGAAAACAATCAAATTCAGTTCGTGACTAACGTAAAAATAGTGTTCCACATTTGTACGTGGTTTTGAACTGAAAGAGCCATCTTCAAGATCATTTGGTGTGGTTCACAATGCCGCCCATCTCAAGACCTGTCCTTCTAGTTTCTTAACTCAACGACCGCGAGGACTTACGTCGGACGTGGACGAGGACGTGCACACTGTTTTCGGGAGAATATTTTAAGGTCACCCAGGCATTCATGATATCATGATAACGTCATTGAAATCTTGTCATGCCATTAGCCGTGCGGCGACCGAGGCTAAAGAGATAAACTGTCGTGCCTTTCATTTCTGTCATTTGTGAACGTCATTTGCATATAAAGCGGCCGACAGTTGGCTCTTAGCCAATATTATGCATTACACAAAGAGGTATCAGACATTAAAGCATTGACGAGCATATTTACTAAACAGAGGAACCGCAATGCCTGAAGCAGTTTTCCCACTTGACGTACACCAGTAGTGATAACTGAGCCCATTTCTTAATATCTGATGCCTCTCCAAATGTCACACATCTTCTTTAAAAGCCACGACAAAATAATACCCGCAGTCCAATTTGAGAATTGGACGTAGTACCAGACGGTTTGACGTGGTCACACGTGTTGTATGATGAGCTGTTGTGCACAGCAAGATACACGCGGCTGAGGTGGGCTACTTGACAACAGCACCGTACGCATTCCGGCATGTGACTGTCACATGCCCCAAACCGACCAATGATTCACCAGCTGGGGCTCTGCACCCAGCTCTGAGAAACTGCAACGTTACGACCAGGCGCTGTCAGAGTCGGTAGCGGGCGGGGAATTCCGGGCAGTTTCTTGGACGCGTCATTTTCGAGTGCAGCGCTCTCCTTAGCTATTAGACGGGAAACAGCGCTGAGCACGAACTAGACTATTGCACGATTGTAAAATCAACTAACACAGTATTCAGTTGGACTAAAACGACTTTCCCTTGATATTTTCCCAGACTAAATAATCTACTAGGTCATCTTTTCACTAGTTGGTACAGTTAACTAGATCACACATCTCACTAAATGAAATGTTTCACCGGATAATTACACAGCACCGTTTGTTCGGTAGCTATGCTCTAGAGGCATCCGACCCTCAACGTTTGCTTCTTGCACGTCGTCCTGTTATTGCTCCATATCCCCCCCCCCCCCCACACACACACTCACGCCACTGGTTCTGTTACGCCCAACGGCAGCGTAACCGGCATTGCCTTGCGACGAAGCCATGTCTACCGCACAGTAATGACGCAGTTGCAGGTAGTTACCCAACCGCAGACATCGTGCATGACGATTACTGAAGACCTGTCAATGACGTCACACCAGTTCCGGAGATATCGGCATGCATATCTTCGACCATCACCGAAGACCATCGCATAAATTAAACGGTCATATCGAAACGCATGTGTTCACCTGAATGCTGCGGGGATATGGATCAAACCGGGAGTAGCGGCCGACACGGGCCGGGCGGGAGCGTGGATAACAGGCGAATCCTAACCTGGATGCGATCGGGGAAATGGATCAACTCGACCGTTGGCGCAGCGGTCCCGAAGTTGGTATTATGACCGCTTATGTGATCAGACCATGCAGCACAATATAGTCATGTAATGTGACCACAAACCCACATCGAATGACGAGCTCATGGCTGGCAGTACGCTCACTTATGCTATATGCCACGGATCCTGCCGTAGCTGCTCGCGGAAATACACAACACAGCCAAGGTCAGATCGGTGATTTGTCCTGCCTAGATGCATGCAGTATGAATAATTAATGGAATTCTTGAGCGGGTTATACCGCTAGTTAAGAAATCATAACTGCATTTACGTAGTGAACTAGACTACTCACAATCGACGCTGGAAACGCAACAACATGAGTCACTCACGTGTCTACACTCAAAGATTGGTGAATCGGGATGTAGCATGGAAACCTCTAAAACTAACCAATACGCGGGCTAAAATTTAGCTCATCACACGACTGGGAAATTTCCGATGTGATGGCAAATCTCTCCAAACTCCCAAACAAACCAAACAGGGCGCATTCTCTCTCATTCAGAGCAATTTCGGCGCAGTCGACAACATGCGCCAACAGCGACCTGTCACCTAAAGCGCTGTCTGATTTCTCATCTGAAGTAGAATTACCCCTATGCATATAACAGACCGCGACTTAACCCGAAAGAAAACGGCAGCGGAAGCTGTAGTTGAACACGGTTGCCAGAATTGATCCTTATGTGTAGTTTGTGTATCATTACGTGTAGTATGTGTAGTATCATTCCATCAATGAGTCCAATGAAGAGAAGGTCTTAAACGCAAGCACGCGTGAAATCAACGCGCCATCTTAAATTTCATATTATCTATCACAGACAGAGGCGCATTTTTGTTTGTCTCCTTATATCTCTTTTCTAAGAAGGTGGTTCAGAAGGTGGAACAAAGGATCAAGCTGGATAACAATTAACAAGTCGAGAATGCCGAATGTCTGTTCTAGGAATTATCCAAAAAATTGAACAAATTTGATAGGCGAAAATAGACCGTAGAAGTAGGCCGGTATAGTAGTAACGTGCCGAGGCAGCGCGAGAACAGAACACGACACACCGGGCGTCAGGTCAGGACAGATCGGTGTACCGACGTCAGGTCAGGACAGATCGGTATACCGACGTGAGGTCAAAGCAGATCGGTGTACTGACGCCAAGTGAGGATCGATCGGTGTGCCAACATAAGGTCGGGACAGATCGGTGTACTGCCATACGGTCAGGACAGAGCGGTGTACCGACGCCAGGTCAGCACAGATCATCGTGTAGACATCAGGACAAATTGGTGTACCGACGTTTGGTTAGGACAGACCGTTTTATCGACGTGAGGTCAGGACAGACTGGTGTTTGAAAAGGACGGACTGCTGAATTATATGGATGGGTTCACTTGCAGTTAAGAGACAAAACAGCAGTTTGTGCAATTCTTACAAATCAGGGAGGGGAAAATGGACACGACCAAAGCCTTTCAAAGGGGGCAATTTATATCTTGTCCACAAGACGTCATTGGTCATTTACTTCCAACATGGTCACGCTGCGCTGAAGATAGCTTTATATTTACGGATCATTCTGTGCTCGCATGTGCCATGATACCTGAGAGGCTTGTTCGAAAATGAAAAAAATCGGCTTACAACTAACTTAAAGCTATGAAGAAACCAGTTACACGCCAACAGATTCCACAACTGAACGTTATACCAGCGGGTCCATTGGAGCCACACATCTTGTGTGATAAGCTGTTATGCATAGTAAGACATAACAGGTGTGGTGGGGCGGCCGGCAACATAACCCGACGCCTGCCCGCGTACGACTGTAAGTCCCGAACCGTCCCATGATTCACCAAGTGGGGTTCTAACCGCAGCTCTGACGAAACCCGACGTTACGGCCGGGCGCTGTCAGAAGGAGGTAACGAGCGGGGCGTTTCATGCCTTCCACGCCTCGCTCGTCTTTCCAGTTACCTTACGTGTCTTCCCTCGCCGAGCAGAGTTTCGAGTCAGAGTCCAGAGCCGAGTAGTCAAACGTCGCGTGTTCATAAGATGTGGTCCTGGCGTGGTGAGATGGCACACCAAAGAGATTCCGTGACTAAACAAACACCTCTGCACGTGCATGGAGATGTTGTCGGGAGAGTGACGTTCGAAGCAGCTCTGGTTTTCTTCATGCTGCACTTAAACCTCGTCCGACTCCAACGCGGACGAAGGAAGACACCAGCGTGCAGACCGTGTGTTGTATTAGCAAATTCGGTTTGATACATGTTCGGCGTAT